AATCAACTGACTGTTGAAATATTTAATCAAATGTTGGCTGAAATATAGCCAATCCAGTGCTTTTTTCTGGGGCATTCGCAGAGGTATGCATATCCCTAAACATTTTGTGACTCTAACGAGAGAAGATACATATATATATATATATATATATATATATATATATATATATATTCTCTAGCATGGTGAGTTGTCAGTTCTGTTGCTACCCCCGATGGCGGCCTCATTTCCAGTCACAGTTTCCAGAGACTCAGATGGAAGCAAGCGTTTAATGTGTGATGTAGGAGTTGGAATCTAGCACTGTGATGGGTCTGTTTCATTGTTACCACCTCCGATGGCGGCTTCCTTTCCTTTCGTGGTGTAATCCATGTTCTTTGTACTTTTGTCCATTTACTGTATTTATTTTTCCTGATCTGAGTCAAAATGAGAGTACTCCTAAACATTTTTTTTTTAAGAAAAAAAAGCAAAGGTCCAATCCAATACATACATATCACTTGTGCCGTAAAGGTAAAAGGTAAAGGGACCCCTGACCATTAGGTCCAGTTGTGGCTGACTCTGGGGTTGCGGCGCTCATCTCGCTTTATTGGCCGAGGGAGCCAGCGTACAGCTTCCGGGTCATGTGGCCAGCATGACTAAGCCGCTTCTGGCGAACCAGAGCAGTGCACGGAAATGCCATTTACCTTCCCGCCGGAGCGGTACCTATTTATCTACTTGCACTTTGATGTGCTTTTGAACTGCTAGGTTGGCAGGAGCAGGGACCAAGCAACGGGAGCTCACCCCGTCACGGCGATTTGAACTGCCAACCTTCTGATCGGCAAGTCCTAGGCTCTCTGGTTTAACCCACAGCGCCACCCGTGTCCCACTTGTGCCGTAGGACATTGCAAATACAGTAAAATGCATATTTTTTTGCTGTTGCTGTTGCTGGCATCCATCTGACTCTAGAGACAATGGAGTGCGCCTCTGGGGGTGAAACCAAATCACTGTGCTAGTGGCGACCGCCCCGGGGTGCATGCCTGGGAAGTGTGTATGGAGGTCCTGTGCTGCCCGAATGGCAAGACCCTCCTCTTGGTTTCACTGATGTGGTCCAAAGGAAAGCAGAGCGATACATTAGGCACCAGCTTGGCTTCAGGAGTTGCTGGAAAGAGGCGTACAAGATGCCATCCATCCGTCTTAGGGGGCTCTACTTCCAGATTTGTGTAGGGTTTACTCCTTAGGCTTTTCTTGTCCCGAAGGTGCCCCACAAGGCAGCAGGTAAAAATGTTTATTAGCGTAGATATAAATCAGATAAATGCACCTTCTGTGCAAAACGCAATGAAAATTAAAATAAAATTAAACACCTCCTTAGATTTAGCTTGCTCGGATGATGTCAGATAATAGCCAGGTATTGAAAGCGTTATTTATTGGAACAATATAAGCACCAGAGATAATTTTTCTAACTGCAGTCAATGTAGCCTTCTAGAATCTAGAGGATCCAGTCCCATTCAAAAGGTGTACAAAGCCACATGGGACTCTTCTCCCCACACAGATACAATGGGCTGAATGGTAGTCTTGGCATTCTGAGCATGTGCAACCTGTGGCATGCCACATTGTGTTTACAAACTTTCTGGCCCCATGAAGGAGCGCCAGGACAGAAGGGTGAAATGTACGTGCAGAGTATTTATGTCCCTTTGTGACGGTGATGTTTTTCTTGCATTTATTGTGATCTGGTGCCCTGCGCTCTTGTAGAAGCTACACTCCTTCAGAGGTGGGCTGGAAGGAGATTGTAGCCACAACCGTCACTGACTCTGCCGTACGCTCTCCCCAAGCGCTTTTGCCTGGCTGGATTGTGCCCTTGAATTATGATCATGCTTATCGTTTGGATGGAGGATGGAGTAATGTGAAGCAGAGTGGGACATTCGTGTGTAGAAAACTTGTGACTTTTATGAAGCTAGAACGTAGCCTGCCTGTACAAAGGGAGGAGTCACAACTGTTGCTCCTCCCACTTGGCTTTCTGGCCCCTCCCACTATTGGGAATAAGCTTCCAGATACTTGTCCACAAAGGAATATGCCCTTTGGAGTGAAAAAGGGTCCCCCACCCCTGATTTATCATCTTGGAGGCACACCCATGCGTTGTTCTTCCCGTTCGCAGCTGTTCACCTTAATCACGCTGCCACCAGCTTAACTAAATGGTTAGACTTGATTTAAAGCAACACCCAGCGATGCTGCAACTGCAGCTTTTAGATGGAACATAATGAGAACGAGCCATAATGAGCAAATATTTATGTCAATCATGTGGCGCCTCAAAACAATTTCACAATATCCACTTCACTTCCAATTACTTATACAGCCGAGATGTAACGACGATTGAGTAGCTTCTTGTTATAGGGTAATGATCTGCCGATGTCAAAATAGCGTTCGCGGAAATTACTTGTGTTGCGCCAAGTGATTAATGAGATAGGCATAGCCCGTTTCCTCCACTGAATGTTAATGGGTGCATGAGAATTTTCCCACAGTGCCCTTACTGGAAAGCTGGATTCTGATGGGCTTTTGTATACAGGTCATTTTGCATCACAGCCAATCCGATGCCATGTCCGTTCATTAGGACACTGTGGCCGGCTGCTGTTTAACTTTTCTTTCCTCGGCCTGCAAAGATAAAATGCTTCTTAAACCTTGTGTCCGCCAGTAAGTCATTCGGCACAATCAGGCTGCTTGATGCGTTTTGCATTTTGCAGAAGTGCTGATCCAAGCCTGGCGAAGGCAAGATAAGAGAACGCGACCCAGAATGAGAAGTAAGCAAGCAAGTTAATGACACCTGCTAAACAGTCCCAGGTGTTCCTTAAAGCAATGATGGTAAAAGTGCTTTTGAAAGGTTCGTATCAATATTATTATTATTATTATTATTATTAATTGTGCCCCACCCATCTGACTGGGTTGCCCCAGCGACTCTGGGAGCTTCCAACATATATAAAAGCATAATAAAATGTTACACATTAAAAGGCTTCCCTATACAGGGCTGCCTTCAGATGTCTTCTAAAGGTTGTTACTCATCTCCTTGACATCTGATGGGAGGGTGTTCCACAGGGCGGGCGCCACCACCGAGAAGGCCCTCTGCCTGGTTTCTTGTAGCTTCACTTCTCTCAGTGAGGGAACCACCAGAAGCCTTTGGAGCTGGATCTGTGTCCGGGCTGAACAATGGGGGTGGAGGCGCTCCTTCCACTGGTTTTACTCTGAGTAGGACTAACATTGGGTACGACCCATGGCCACTGACCCTTTAGTCCAAGCAAGATTTGGATGTGCCAGGCATTCAGAGGTTGTTGTAAGGGCCCTAGCTGGTTAGGGGCATATGCTGGCTGCGTCCCCATGTATGCCCTCACCTCTTTCCCCAGTGAAGGGGAATTCTAACTGCATTCAGTTGGATGTGGTTGGAATCCTCCAGGTGATCAGGAGTTCTACACAATCTTCCACCAGACCTTTGCAACAATGGAGGAAGGTTGAGAATGGAGGGGCTGAAGCTTTTAGGGGGTGGGCACATGCCCCATACAAATCTCACTCCAGCAATGCTTCTTCCCCCTTAAATGCATGAAATTAGCCCAGAAAAACACACAAAGGGTCCATACATTTGCTTTACGCCTAAGAGAGGCAAGAAGCAAAAGTCTACCGAGAGTTAGTAGTTGAGATGGCTTTGTGGAACCTCCAGGCTGAGAGGTTCATCATCATAATGTCCCACCATGAAGCAAAGATGGGAGAAGGCTGTTGCCTTCTTGACCTCCTTGTCGGCCTCCCATCAGTATCTAATTCACCACTGTGGAGAACAGAATGGTGAACTAGATGGACCTTCAACGTAACCCAACAGGACTCTGAGGACGTCTGAGGCATAAGACTTTCTTGAATAATCCGCAAATCAATTTAACACCAATCCTAAATGTCCTCAGTTGCTATGTATCATAGCTGCTGTGAAACCTGCTTGAATGTGTCACAGCCCTTACCTGCTGCTAATAAACATAGAAATAATGCTAATTCAGTGACAAGATTCTCATTTGTGGCTTTGTCGAGTTATGTTGTATGTAGTCCCAGTGTTGTCTTCAGATCTTCGAAAAGTTTTTCATGTTTGTCCACAAAGTTGAGGCTTCATGGTGTGAATTCCAGACAACCTGTTCCTTGTTTCTTTGTGGGGAGACCAGATGATGTTGACCACTTATGGAGCATTCTGATTGGTTTGTGGGGGAGGTTAGATGACGTTTCATACAAGCAAGAGTTGCCTTATGTTTCCCAGAACATTTCCCCATCACTTTCCTTACTGCAAAAAGTCTGATCTCTTCAGGAGGCGGGTTTGTTTTTCAGGACCTCCCAATCAACTATAGTTGTGCAACCTGAATTTGCGGGTGTGTGATCAAATCCCATCTGAAAAAATAATGACAGTCTGGAAGCACCCAGTCTCTCTGCATTTTCTTTACCTCCCAGAGTAGCATGAAAATGTGTTACTGAATCAGACCCAAGAGTTCATCTGCTTCACCATTCTGACTGTGGCCAGCCAGATGGTCACTGAAACCAAATGAAGTATTTTTTGTGAGCTTGTTGTTCCCGTACCCAGTTCTGTTACTACTCAGCTTATATATACGCTTAACTTCTTTAAATGAACTTTTCCCCTTCATGGGTTGAGAGGCACATTATACAGCTGTGTCTCTTTTAATTACAAATGCCATTTTTTAAAATAAAAAAATAAATCTGCAGTGCCCTAGCAAGCAGGAAAACAGCAGGCGAAGCCACATTTGCTGCGACTGCATGACTCAAATTAGTCTTTTGGGGTAAATGGATATAAAGCAATTAAGGTTGTGGCTGTAGCAGCAATACACGTGTGCCAAGAAAACTCTTTGTGAAACAGATACTGATGAGGACAAAAAGGTGTAAGGTTTGCAGATACTCTGGCCATTATTCCATCTAGCTCAATATTGTGGCTCTCTAGGATTTCAGAAAGGAGTCTTTGCTATCTGTGGTTGGAGATGCCAGAGATTGAGACTTCCTAAGTGTAAGGCTCAGTGCGAGAGCATCTACCTTGCATGTGGAAGGGCCAAAGTTCAATTCCTGGCATCTCCAATCTGTCCCAGTCTGAAACCTTAGAGCAGGGGTCAGCAAACTTTTCCAGCAGGGGGCCGGTCCACTGTCCCTCAGACCTTGTGGGGGGCCGGACTATGTTTTGAAAAAACATACGAACAAATTCCTATGTCCCACAAGTAACCCAGAGATGCATTTTAAATTAAAGGACACATTCTACTCATGTGAAAACATGCTGATTCCTGGACTGTCCGCAGGCCAGATTTAGAAGGCGATTCGGCCAGATCCGACCCCCAGGCCTTAGTTTGCCTACCCATGCCTTAGGCAGCGGTTCTCAACCTGTGGGTCCCCAGATGTTGTTGGACTACAACTCCCATCATCCCTGAGCTCTGGCCTTGCTAGCTAGGGGTGATGGGAGTTGTAGGGGACCCACAGGTTAGAGAGATGCTGTCAGTCACTGATGGGCCAATGTTTCTGCCAGTGAATGGTTCCATTGTCTCCTTGTGTTTATGCAGTACGTATTTGTTGATTTTAAGGAATGGCTAGCGATAGTGGTTGGTGATTGGTTGGGAGATATTGTAAGAAGAAGAAGAGTTTGGATTTGATATCCTGCTTTATCACTACCCTGAGTCTCAAAGCAGCTAACAACTTCCTTTCCCTTCCTCCCCCACAACAAATACTCTGTGAGGTGAGTGAGGCTGAGAGACTTCAAAGAAGTGTGACTGGCCCAAGGTCACCCAGCAGCTGCATGTGGAGGAGCGGGGAAGCGAACCCAGTTCACCAGATTACGAGTCCACTGCTCTTAACCACTACACCACGCTGGCGATCAAGTGGGTGGTGTGTTTGTGGTAGAAGTGTGGGAATAGAATGGGATGTGTGCTATTGAATGATAGCCTGGATAGCTCAGTCGGTTAGAGCGTGGTGCTGATGACTCAAAGGTTGCTTGTTCGGTCCCTGTATGGGACAGCTGCATATTCCTGCATTGCAGGGGGTTGGACTTTGATGATCCTCAGGGTCCCTTCCAACTCTATGATTCTACAATTCTATGAGTTGCGGGTACAGTCATACCTTGGTTCTTGAACGGAGTCAGTTCGACTTCCAAAAACATTTGAAAACCAAGGTGTGGTTTCCGATTGGCTGCAGGAGCTGCCTGCACTCAATCAGAAGCCGCGGAAGCTGCATCGGACATTCGGCTTCCAAAAAACGTTCACAAACCAGAACACTCACTTTCGGGTTTGTGGTGTTCGGGAGGCAAAACGTTTGAGTCGCAAGGCGTTCGAGATCCAAGGTACGACTATATTGTATTGTGCGGCATTAGGATGCGACGTGTGTATTAGTCAGTGGGGCAAATGGGGCATTTTGTGGGCTGGATGTAGAATCGCTGGCCCTAAACATGTTTCACAGTGTGCTGCTATGTTTTCGTTTTGGGAGATTGTATTGCATTGCAGTTTCACAGTTCCATTATTGTATTTGTTTTTCATTGTTGTATTTGTTTGTTTTTGGTGAACTGCTTCGAGACTATATTAAGTATTACGCAGAATATATAAATATATTAAATAAGCAAACATCCTATGCATATTTACTCAGAGGTCGGTCCCACTGTGTCCAAAGGCTTTTACTCCCTAGTAAGCTCACTTAAAAATGCAGTCTTAGGCTGTAACCCAGTGTACACTTCCCTGAATGCAAGTCCCGTTAAACTTAGTGAAATATTTCTAAGTATGCATGCATAAGCTTGAGCTACATATCATTTCCTAAACCTTCTCCTGCCCGTGATGCAAAAGAAGCATTTTAGATTCTTCTTGCTTTTACTATCTGTTGTTTTATTAAATTGTGGCTTGGGAAATCTATTTTGGTGAGGAGTTTCACTTTTTGTGTACTTTCAGATCTGCCTTGCATGCTCTTGCATGTTAATGCTTTGGATAGGCCTACGCTTGAATTCTACACACATCTCAAAAAGAATGTAGTCAATATGGACAGTCTGCAATTGCACCACTGGGTGGCACTGTGGTTCAGCAAAAAAACCCCCACGATATTGAAGTTCACCGAGGCAGCGTTTCGAAACATACTGAAATACACCTTGCATGTTGTGAGACCAATCTAGTTGTACTTTATATGAACCACCCACTTCAGTTCTGTACTCATGTGGGGTTGCCAAAGGGGATGTGGTGGCAGGAAACAGATGTGTGTGGAGTTAGGTCCAGATGAAAAGGAGCAAGGGAAATATGGGCACTTCAGCCCCTTCGCTTTTGGATGATGGATTCAGCATCATCAAAGAGTTTTCTTATGTAGCCTAAAAGTGCTATTCAGTATCCCAAGTGACTGTAGCTGCTGAAAATAGTCTGTTGGTGGCTCAGTTCTTATGTAATGTTGGGATGCGGGTGGCGCTGTAGTCTAAACCACTGAGCCTCTTGGGCTTGCCGATCAGAAGGTTGGCGGTTCAAATCCACACAACGGGGTGAGCTCCCGTTGCTCTGTCCCAGCTCCTGCCAACGTAGCAGTTCGAAAGCACACCAGTGCAAGTAGATAAACAGGTACAGCTGCAGAAGGAAGATAAATTGTAGAGTTGGAAGGGACCATGAGGATCGTCTAGTTCAGCCCCCTGCAATGCAGGGATCTTTTGCCCAATGTGGGACTTGAACCCACTACCTTGAGATCAAGAGTTTAAGTTAGGAATGTGATATCCAAAAAGGCCAAGCATTTATTTCATCGAAATCACTTAAACACACACATCTTGAAGTGTGTGAAGTGGATAATTTTCCTTTCCCATTTCCCTCCCACAATGCAGGCCACAACCCATAGATCCAGGACAATCAGTCTCATCCAGAAATGTCTGCAGTTGGTTCCGTCGCAATCAGTTTCTGCAGGAAGGCAGTGTTTATGACAGGGCAATAGTTGTTGCAATCCATTGAGTCTAGGGCTGGCTTTTTCAGTTGTGGCTGCACTACTGCCTGCTTGCTTAATGCAAGGAAGCATTTGCAGTTCCCTGGAAACACCTGATCAACCTTCCCTGACTCAATTTCACCAGCTGTGATGGCTGGGATCAAGAGGCCAGGGTTGTTGATGAAACGCTCATTGGTGTCTGTACACCTGCCAATGCCTGCTTTGGTGCCCACAGAGGCCTTCCTCCTGTCCATTATACCTGTAGAAATGTGACTTTCAGCTCTTTGTATAGCTCATACTCAGCTTTGGCTGGACACCAGGACTATTAGATATCAATTGTAATCGGATGCCACCCTTTCCTTCTGTTATGGTTGCCACACAGACTGCACAAGGAGAGGAGAGGGACCTTAGTCTTCGCTGAGCAAGTAGTGGTAGATCGAGTATGTGAAGGATTTTGGGCTGAGGGGAGCATGAGAGAGAAATCTGGAAATGAAGCCCCCTGCATCCAGCCCACTTGGTGACCTCATCTGTGGCAGCAGATATGTCTTTGAGTGACCTTTTGAATCAGATTGAAGTGGGCTTTTAAAAAAATTGGAAGAAGGGGGGGGGCTGAGGAACTGATGGGAGAGATTCCCCCCCCCACAAGTCCATCTGCCTTTACAGAAGCCACTTCTCCTGGCTGAGAGTGAACAGTTAACTCTTCCTGCCTGTTTTGAGGACAGGGGCTTATAGCAGAACGCATAAACCCCTCCTTTTGAAGCACCTATCACCACTTTCTCTATTTGTCTGTCTGTCTTTCTGTCCGTCTGTCATCTAATGGCTTCACAGTAAAAATGATGCTGCCTTTCTTCTTCTTATAATCTATTTATGAGGTCCTTTGTTTATTTGAGGATGCCTCTGGGAGGAGCTGTTCTCCTGATCTTTTTGGATCCTCTGATGGTACTGCTACTATCTGGAGCAGTTTTGGAATAACGAAATACGTTTCCAGTGCCTCTTGCTAAGAAGTTAAATTATGATACAACCAGGTTTGAGAGGGTAGCATGCTGTAGTTACTATACAATAAAAGCAGTTGGCTAATTCCCCCTCTATATTAATATATTTGTGAATATTTTGTTGCACAGATTCCATGCATATGTTCCCAGAATTCTACTGCAGGAATCACAGAACGTTTCTCATAAACAGTAGGATAAATTACAGTAGCTTGGAACTTGGAACCAGAATGGGCTAATGAGAAACAAGATGGAGGTGTTAGCGATTTTGGGGGAACTCCAGGGTTTTAAAAAGTGCAACAACCCAAGGGGAAACCTCTCAAAAAAACTTGATTGAGGATTAGCAGGTTCAATAGCCACATAATAGCATGTCTGTTGGAAATTGGGGGGTGGGACACACATAGAACTCGTTGGGGTGATAGCTGAATGGACAATGTTGGAGGAAATCAAGGCTGGCTGGAACCCTGAGCAAGAGCTTCCTCTGCTAGGTAGTGAGCATATGCTGCAACATTTTATTGCAGACCTAGTCATGGGATTTCAGTGGGAGATGCTGGAGTGTTAGGAAATGTTTTTGGCTTGGGGACGCCCAAGAGTGAAAAGAATTTATGAAGCCCTTGCATACTCAATGGACAGGGGCTAGGGGTGTTCTGACAGTACCTCGGGGTACTGTACCTTGGGTTACATACACTTCAGGTTACAGACTCCGCTAACCCAGAAATAATACCTTGGGTTAAGAACTTTGCTTCAGGATGAGAACAGAAATTGTGCTCCAGTGGCGCGGCAGCAGCAGCAGCAGGAGGCCCCATTAGCTAAAGTGGTGCTTCAGGTTAAGAACAGTTTCAGGTTAAGAACGGACCTCTGGAACGAATTAGGTTCTTAACCTGAGGTACCACTGTAGTGTCTTTGCACGTGGATCAGAGTTATAGGCTGGATCTAGACACACACACACACACAAAAAACGTTTCAGGAAAACACGTTGTAAACCTCATAATGGGAAATCATGTTGGTGAAAAACTCCAGAGCGCCATCTGGTGACACGGTGTTATAACGCATTTAAATGCATTTTCTTTACTGATGTAGCTGACTCCATAGTCCAAATCATAGTTATGGTCACTTATGATTTAGAGGTTCAGGAGGGAAAACCCCACCCCTACCATTGCTAATCATGGTGGAGGAAGTAGAGTAGCTCATTCAGGTGAAGGAAAACTCTGGTCCTAAACCTCCGCTGCCTTGTGGGATATATTTGGGAGAAGAAAAGGCTAAGGAGCATACCCTACACCAGGCACCCCCAAACTTGGGCCTCCAGATGTTTTGGGACTACAATTCCCATCATCCCTGACCACTGGTCCTGTTAGCTAGGGATGATGGGAGTTGTAGTCCCAAAACATCTGGAGGGCTGAGTTTGGAGGTGCCTGCCGCACACATTTCTGGAATGGAGTCCCTAAGACAGTTGGATGACACCTTGAACACCTCCTTATGGCAACTCCTGCAGCCCAGCTGGTGACAAACGTATTGCTCTGATTTACTTTGGACCATGTCAGTGAGGATGAGAGAAGGGTCTTGTCATCTGGGCAGCCCAGGACCTCCATACACATTGCCCGGGCTTGTGCCCTGGGGAGATCGCTCTGGTGCTGCTAACAGCCATTTGACTTCACCCCCAGAGGCACACTCCACTGTCTCTTGAGACAGATGGGTGCCAAAAAGCAGAATCAGCTAGCAGTTAGGCAAGTCCACTGTGCAACAGCGCTTTGCAACCCCTTCCAACTAAAAGTACCCCCGACAAAAAGAGTTATTTTGAGTTGCATTTCTTTTACCATCCCTGATTAGAACAACATCTGTGAGTGCCTTAAGAAGAAGAGCTTATGAAACAGAAGTATCAGACAGCAAATAGAGAATTTGCAGCGCCAGGAGTCTTGAGGCAATTAAGAATATACAACTGCCGCTTTAGCTCCCACTTGGAATATTTTATAATAGCTGTGTTTTCTTCAGCCCCTCTCCCCAATTTCGAGTTGCATAGGAAATGGCATTGTGCAAATTGCTATGCTTCTGTGCTCAAACATAGTTTCTAGCAGAGGGAAAAATCCTTGTCTGACCTTTGTGTGGTTGCGATTCATTTCCTTAGGGCGAACAGCTGTTTGGTAGCAGTTGCTGCCTTTGAATATACTGATGCGACAGTGTTCTAAAAAAAACACAAACCCCACACAAAATAAATGGCACACTCATCGTTGCAGTAACTGCAATAACTGAGTCTAGTGAGCCAGAATCTTGGATAGTATAAAAACAGGCATATTGTCAATACTGTGTGACATCAAATGGTCGTTCCTCTGCAGCGTTTTGTAGAGGGATAGGGCATAGGCAATGGTCTTCCCTCAAGGCAGCATAAGACTTTTGACAGATCTCATGACGACAAGCGGAGGGGCAGATTGCAACGGCCTGTGGAGTTTCACTCCCTCTGTAATATTAGCCCCATTCAGGCCTTTAGCCTGATACTTAGGGGTCTGGGAATGTATATACTGCCCCCATCTTACTTCCTGCCATGCACAACCTCCATGTGTTTCTTATTAAGGTGCAAAAGGAGCTTCTATGCATGCTTACCCGGGTGTGTAACATTACTGCAGTCAAACCAGTAATTCATGTTTTGCCAGATAGGCACACGGAGGGGCTGAGGCTCACAGAGCCTTCCTGTAAATTTCCTAGAAAGAACTTTGTGAGATCACTTCCTTTGTCTTCCTTGGCCGGAAACTGTAACAATACATAATTCCTGCCTGCCTGGGAATCCTCCCCTTCCTTCATCATGCTTCCAAGGTGATCACATGTGCATCTCTGAGCCCTGCAGCTCAGACACCTTTTTTGAACGTTCTGTTACTTAAAGGTAAAGGGACCCGTGACCATTAGGTCCAGTTGTGGCTGACTCTGGGGTTGCGGCACTCATCTCGCTTTATTGGCCGAGGGAGCCGGCGTACAGCTTCCGGGTCATGTGGCCAGCATGACTAAGCCGTTTCTGGCGAACCAGAGCAGCACACGTTTACCTTCCCGCCGGAGTGGTACCTGTTTATCTGCTTACACTCTGACGTGCTTTCGAACTGCTAGGTTGGCAGGAGCAGGGACCAAGCAATGGGAGCTCACCCCGTCACAGGGATTCGAACAGCCGACCTTCTGATCGGCAAGTCCTAGGCGCTGTGGTTTAACCCACAGCGCCACCTGCGTCCCTTTTGTTACTTACCTGGTCGTTTTAAACCTGCCTTCATTTTGCTACTGTAACTGCTGCTTCAAGACCCTAGATTATATAAGCAAGCACTACTTTAGTTGCTTCGTAAAACGACGTGTGTGTGATTACTGTTTTTAAGCGGGGGGAAAAGGAGTAATACTAGGAAAATCCTGTCTGCCTTAAAGCATCCTGGATTATTGTTTGAAGGTTAAATCAACCTTGTCTCAGCTTCTGAGTTTAAGCTGCCAAGGATGGTACTCACAAATGTGACCGAGGAAGAATAAAGAAACAATATATCCTCTCCCTAGTGCCTAAATCCATTCCTACAGTGGGGACATTGAAAGTGAGGCTTGTAGGTGTCGCCCTGCACCTCTGAACTCTTTTAACCATTGTGTGTTCAGGCTAATGCCCCAAGACAGCTTCTGACTTGGGCAAAATAGGCCAGAGGAAGTGTGAAGCAGCTGTTGTTCCTATTCCCTACCCACCTTTGCAGTGGTATGGTTCAGACACCAGCTTATCACCACAGTAAGAGGAGGTTGTGGAGGCTTCCTTTGTAGCAGAAGTAGCAGCTCTGATGAGGGAGTTTTTGTTGAAGACGTTTGCTAGGAGAGAAAGAGTTCTACTTGCCCTCAGTGACCCCAAGGCCTCTCAGCCTTCCGGTCAGCTGCTATTTGACATTGTCAAAAAACTGTCATGTTAATTGTGTCCACACTCCGATTTTATATCACCCGAGGCTGACCCTTTCGTTAGACAAACGGAGGTAATTGCTTTAGGTGGTTGGGGCTCATGGGGGCAAATTAGCAGCCTGCTCTATCTACCTAGCTCCCCATTGACTTGGTTGTGATGCCATCGCTGCCCAGCTCCTGTAGGGCTCTCTAGGCAGGTGTTTATTGTTGGGAGGAAGCACGTGGAACTGAAGGGAAGTGCTGTTTTAGACCTGTGTGTCACATATGGCATTCACCTGTGCCACCTTTTGAAAGTGTGGATTGCGTAAGCGTTTTGTGACATTGCATACGGGGAGGAATACGCAGGGTGAGTTGGAGGGGGCTGAGCCTTGAATTGATAAAACATCCAAAACACCATCTTCATATATATTTTTCTTTCAGTTTAACTTTTATTAAAAGAGGTTCTAAGGTACTGTACTGTATCCAGCACATTATATTTATTACCAAAATTATTAACAAATATACAAAACTTATATATGGAATATTTATTACATCCATTTATTCCTCTATAATACTGCATTTGTTCAAGTAGGTTACCTACAGTGTAAACTTCCCTCAGTTTGATCTCGCATAGTTTGGGAAAGCCCCTCTTAACCCCATATGGTTATCATATAATTTTCTTTTCTTTATTTGGCTTTCACTGGTTGTATCTGATTTTCACATTTGGCACATGGAAGAAACATCGACAGTGCAAAAAGAGGCACCCCCCCCCCGGTTTAATTCCGAGTCACAGTTTTTAAAAGCCGAGGAGACTCAAAATACATTAATTTGATATTAGTATTAATGCATATGACACACAGGTCAGTTGTTATTCAAGCTGAGTGCATTCAACTGCTTCCCACATCCCATCACTCAGACTCTTCTGCTGTGCAAGATTGCAAAAGCCAGGCCCCTTTTTGGGGAGCTGAAGGGCTCTTGCTGGTGACAGAAACCCACAGTTTCATGTTTTTTGTTCTATTGTCTTGTGCCTTCTTGAATTTGCCAGCGAGCGACCGCTTTGTAAACCGAGTTAGGAAAGGAGGGCATCCTCCACTGGGGAAGGCTTTCTGCAGACAATTTCCTCAAGAACTGAAAATTACGGGTCTTTGCACCCAGATGCAAAGAACATAATAAGCTGTCATGGGTTTAAAAAAAAAAAATCTGCAAAAGAGAATAGTGTCATTCTATTTCAGGAGTGCAGCTTTCAAGTGTAGCCATTAAAATAAAGAACCACCCAGGAAATGCTCCCACCCCACCCCTTTTCTTTTCTGTTTCTCGTCGTTTACAAATGTAGCTTAATGTAACTGAGTAAAGCTGATCCAGAGAGAGCTCTTAATTATTTCCACTCCTCTTCCGCATTCTCCCTCAAGCACCATATTGCTATTTGTAGGAGGCCACCGCGCCCGTGTCCTCAATATCTGATTGAGTACAAATTCAGATGGCTGCGCCGAGTACCCGAGTAGTACTCTGCCTTCGCCTCTTTGTTACCAAAGGGCCCCGTTCCCTTCTGTGGCGCCGTACATTTCGGCCAGCTTTTTGAAGCGGGGCCCCCAGTCCGTCAGATAGTCGTAGCTCTGCTCTGAGTCCGTGGACGCAGACTGCAAGGAACTGAGCGACTCGGCCACAGAGCCGTTGCCCTCAAACATGTACGTCTGGAGAGAGTCAAAGGGAGGGGCCCAGAGGTCCATGTCAGCTTCGTAGAGCTTGGCCAACACGTAGCTATGAACGCTGCTGTCCACCGTGCAGGCTTGAGGAACGTATCTGGAGAGGCTTTCGATTTCCGGCATCATGTCCTGCCTGCTCTTCAGCACCACTTGAGCCTCCCTCGGGTTCCACAGGGCCGCGATGTCAAAGGCCTCCGTGTCTTCCTCCCCACCCCCCTCGTCGTCGTACCGCACGATGTTCTCGTGGATGTTCTCGTCTTCGTCGATGATATACGGCTGCTTCCTGTGCCTTCTCATGGACAAGATCAGCAGTACCAGCACTAGAGGGAGCAAGCCAGAACGCAAGACTTTTAGAGCACAGTCAGCATCACAGTGTCCCTCGGCCAAAGCTGAAGGCCTCCACAACAGATGCTGCCCACCCTTTCCCACCGACCATTCTTGCCCTTGATGTAGCAGCAACATCCATGGTGGCAAAGGACAAAGCAAAACCAAACAGCATGTAAGTGGCAGGACTGGGCAATATTTTAGGATGGGTGCACAGCATTAGACTTAAAGCAAGCAGTATTGAGGGATGCAGATTTTACCCTGGGGGTATCTGCTACCTCATTCTGTGCTAAATGCTAAGGGAGTGCTTGCTGCATTTACCTTCTCAGTTATATCTAGTTCATGGAAAGGTCAGTTGAGTTTTGCAGATCGCTTCTAGTTCCAAGCAGGCATTTTTTTGAAGGTCTCATTAACACTGTGAACATAACCCAGTTTTCATGAAAAGGGAAATGTCAATTGCAGCTTGAAAAACAGGATGCCCAAAATGCCCATGGCCACTTTCAAGGCCAAACAAGTCACTTGCCACCCCATACAACGGTGAATTATCGTAGATATTGCTTAGGGTTATGGTAGCAAAACTGTACCTGCAAGTTGCTGGAACATGCCCTAAATCAAATACAAGTCAAATCAACTAAGAATAGTACTTTACACAAAACGTTAATGAGAAAGCCTTTTTGAAAGCTTGCCTATTTTTAGAACATTGCTTTTATTGGCACTGCATTCTAGTAAGCATGGTAGCCGCCTCTATTGTGCCTGAAGAACAGATGGTGTTACTCAATTTAAGAAACGGTACGTATATTTACCTAGCAAGACAAAGATGCAGGCTAGAATGGCAATAAGAGCTCCTCTACTCAGGCTGACAGGGAGCACATAGGCCTCTGCATTGCAGGACATCACAAGACCCTTGTCGTCGCAGCTGCAAACGTGAATGGTTACCGTTCCAGTGCTACTCAGCATGGGACGTCCATTATCAACTATCAGGATAGGAAGGTAAAAGATGTTCTGCTCATGCTGCCGGAAGCCTGATCTCCTGGTTAAAATCCAAGCTGTGTTGTCTAGAAGGCGGGGAAAAATAAAAGATGTCAATATTGATTTGCAATGTAAAAAAAAAAAATCAATTGGAGGTAGATGCTTTAAACTATTTTGCTTTGGATCCATACATTTAGAATACTAGATTTACTTTGGCCTGCTGCTGCTGTGCGTACCTTGTGTGAATGTGAATGTGGGCAGAGGAGAGAAAATGAAGCATGTGACAAAATGCTAGAGAAACACACAGCTCTAAGATACTAGGATTTGCACACTGACATGCGCACTAAATTCAGACCCTTTTCTCTCTTTACTATCAAACTTGTGCTTCCACTTTCTCAGACGTTGGAGGGTGTACATTTGACCGAAGTAGAGGGCTTGGGGTTGAGCTGGAGTTTAGCTAGATTTATTGTCAAAGTCTCCTGATGGCTAAGCAGGATGAAAAGCAAACCAAGGTGGTTTCTTAGAGGTTAGCAGCATTTATCCCTTTCCATCCCTTTTATTTATTTTTTTGACAAGCTTAATGTCAGGGCAGGCATCTGGTGCACTGACCGCTATGGAAATTTCCAGGCTTGTTGACAGATTGACAATTCAAGTGCAATGCATTTGTGCCAAACCTTGTTTGCGCACGATAAGATGCCACAGTGATTTGATGCCATAAGTATTGTTTGCAAGTAACATGATGGGATAAGACATGGATGTCAGAAATCTAAGCACTCTCTCTTTTTTATGTTTCAGCACTGGATAGCGGCCATTGCAGTATTCTATCACTTAAGAGAGACAGACATTCCCCTACCGAATTGGCATGAAAAGTAGGTATCTCTAAATACTGTATATACTGAAATCTACTCTGTTGGAAAATGTTTACTTGTGCCAATTCTGTACCCATACATACACTGCCAAGACTGCTAGCAAAACAACCTGCTTTGGCATGGCCAGGTAATAACAGACACGAGTGCTGATCATATAAGTCTTGTCCAGAGAGCATAAAGTTACATCCCTTGCCAAGAGTGGTCAATAGTGGCGGTAGCAACCATATAATATGGGTGCTCAGCACTTGCATACACTGCTGCAGTGACACGGATCCTGACCGAAGGGAACTAGCAGTTTGGTGGCAGACGCATCACAGTGGTAATGCATGACCTGGGCGGGCAAATATACAAATGTTTTTGCGAGCTAGAATGATCGTTCTATGCATCTGAAAATTGATTTTTGTTTCTGCAAAGTCAACCCTGGCACTATTGGTGAGGGCCAATCAGTGTATATGCCCACTTTATAGTGATAGTTATTGAAGAGTATTTGCATTGTACAGTGCAGGGTGCAATCCTACAGGGCCTGTGAGTTCTTGAGTTCATAGAATATTTTGGACCTCTCTATGAGGGCAGAGGGGGAGGTCCTGATACCAGAGGTCCTCTCTGGTTAGCAGCAAAGGTTTCCCCTGCCCTGCCTGTCCTGGGGCTGAAAATGGGGTGGCTTGGTGACAGTGTTGAAGACCAGTCTGGGGCCAGCAAGGATCTCTAGGATCCTAAATTCCTATATCAGCCTAAGAGATGGGGGACTTATTTCCCTCCTAGAGGGAGAGAATGTAGAAGGGGGGGGGGGGAAGGCACAACCCACCAAGACTTAAGAAATAGTGGAAGTTCTACCACAAACTCTCCTGCCCCATTTTTTTGAAAAAAAATAATTAAATTTTATTTTAATTGCTCTACTGATTATAAAGTAATAAATACCAAAGTTTCTATTTTATTCTGACATCTAGCATTTCTAAAACCAAACATTTTCCTGATTCACTGTTCTGAGATCCCCCCCATTTAAAAGATGACAAGGGTTCAATGTTTAAATGAACATTTAAGTACCACAGGTCAGGACCAATATCTGCTCTTGTGACTGATACAACGGCTGTGCTTGAAAACTGGTCTTCAAAACAAAACACAAGGAACAGCAATTCACTCATTGCTCTCACTCCAAATTACACCACTTGTTTGCTTGGTGGCAGTAGGAAGTACATCTGATGCTGAGAATTCTCCCCAAATTTCTCTCTCTCAACACAGTGCCTCAAGGTTGAAGTGAGCCTGGATCACCCAATGCTGTCGTGGTGGTTTCTTTCAACCTCATCAGCAACGCATGTTCAAAAAAAGGAAGACAGGGTCACAGTGTGTTCTACCAAGGCAATGCCCTGGAAACTCTGGCAGCTGTTTCAAAATAACTGATATAGGCAGCTTAGTGCTAGAACATGCTGATGCAAGAAGACACCTCTTACTTACTGAAGTAGATTTTCATTTTGTTATCTAAGGAGAGAAGATCTGCTAATATTCAGAATTTTTCAAAACATTTAATATGCAGATTCCTCTGAATAATTAGATTATTCCTTTGTCCCACCGAATGCCCAGGTTTCTACAATGAACAGGACTGCATTCATATCTATCCTTTGAATTTAAGCGGCAGGGGGCCAGCCCAAGACATTTTGCTGCCTGAGGCAGAGAAGCGAGTGGTACCTTGGGTGTAGTATGCAAGGCTGGCCAAGTTGTTTTGGCACCTGAGGCAGAAAATACCAGAAATGCTTCTAAAACTCTCTAGCAGTTAAAACAAAAAAACCACCCCCTAAAATAATTGTTGCTAATTTTGTTGCCCTTTCTTGACTTCCAAATACACCTGCCTGAGGAAGCCAACTTACTTTGCTTAATGGTACGGCCGGCCCTGCTTAGAGGAACCCCAAATAGAGGACCAGCTATGCTGGGGAGGGACTGGGTGAAAAGGAAGTGTATAGCATTCACAGTGACATGCTGATCAGCCTTTCAGATGATGTATGTAATAGAATCACTTTATTGCAATGGGCAAACGCTAAACGGAATAGCGCTCTAACAATCCAAAGAAAAACTTATCTGTGTGAAAATTACATATCTGCTGTTGCGAAGAAAATATCCTGAACATTCTATGTCACTTTTCAGCAAGGTGAACCGTGATTGGATGTACATGGAAATAACTTGAGGCTTCATAAATCTCTATTCCCCCTGTTTTTCCTAATGTTACGAAGATTGTTTTCACCACTAGGTGATGCTAAAAAAAGGTAAAGGTAAAGGACCCCTGATAGTTAAGTCCAGTTGTGGACGACTCTGGGCTTGCGGTGCTCATCTCACTTTATTGGCCAAGGGAGCTGACATTTGTCCACAGACAGTTTTTCTGGGTCATGTGGCCAGCATGACTAATCCGCTTCTGGCGAACCAGAGCAGCACACGGAAATGCCGTTTATCTTCCCGCCGTAGCAGTACCTATTTATCTACTTGCACTTTGACGTGCTTTCAAACTGCTAGGTTGGCAGGAGCTGGGACCGAGAAACGGGAGCTCCCCCCGTCGTGGGGATTCGAACCGCCAACCTTCTGATCGGCAAGCCCTAGGCTCAGTGGTTTAGACAACAGGAGGCTTCATAAATCTCTACTCTCCCTGCTTTTCCTAATGTTATGAAGATTGTTTTCACCACTAGGTGATGCTGCAGCGCTGTTTATTTCTATGCCACCCCATTCCATACCATGCTAACAGCAAATGCAATTCTCGGAGTGCCAGTCCTTTTAATAATGATGTATCAGGTGCTTCAGTTTTTGTACCAAGTTCCCTTTTGCTGTGTTTGAATGGTTTTCACTAGGGTTTGGTGCTGGTTTTAGTTTGTTTTGCTAGGCTTCTGTGATTTTATTTCGGGCTATGTATGAATTAGCAGTTTAAAATGCAAGCGAGGCAGTTTTCGCCTGCTGAGTTTCAAGTCGCATCTGCACATGGTTGCATGCACTAAAGAGGGGGTGTGGATGTCCTCACCTGGTGCACATTACCTGTTGGGTTTCCCTGTACCTGCAGCCCCCCCAACTCTTATTCGTGAAGTTGTCATCTCTGTGTGCGCTGTCACCTGCACATAACACAATGACTGTCTCAAATGCACGCACCTCAGCTTAACTGTGCAGGGAGTGTGTTGCTTACGTTTTCAAATCAGATGGAACCGAGGAAAAATGCATCCAACAGCAATACGTCTCAAGAAACTACAAGGTAGATATGAACTGTGGCTAATGTTATGTTTTGCGTGGAAGCGGGTGTAAATGGAGGATGTGTGTACATGGCCTTAAGTGTTCTGTTGTGGATTTTCTTTTATGGTTTATGCAAACCGCTCAGAGAACTTGGCTGGGTGGGCGATATAAAAGCATAAGAAATAAGTAAGTCTGAAATGGCACTATCCATGCACCAGGAGCAAAGTATCAAATTATACTTGAAATTATTAATAATATATATATTGTAAAAAAAGGAGTCAAAACACCCTCAAAACAGGCCACTGATGACTGAGCATTCTGGTTGACTTGCACTGGGTGGGGTAAAATGGAATGCGGTATCTTAGAACAGGACACCCCTAAGGCATATTATACGGAGGTCCTCTTGCGTTCTACTTGCCATTCCAACTGTATGCTTCTTTCTACACATGCAGTTGGAAGTACAGTGGATGCTCGGGTTGCGAACGTGATCTGTGCGGGAGGCACGTTCACAACCCGCAGCATTCGCAACCCGCATGTCCGTGGGTCATGATTCGGCGCTTCTGTGCATGTGCAAGCGCCGAAACCTGGAAGTAACCCGTTCCGGTACTTCCAGGTTCGGTGCGGTGCGCAACCCGAAATCGCACAACCCGAAGCGTCTGTAACCCGAGGTATGACTGTATCTGCTCACTGGGTCTGGTGGTGGGTGAGGTTTGTGGCCCACTGTCATCTTGCAGCCACGTTGCTGTACCCCACTGGGACTGAGCAGGCTTCACTCCAGTCTGCTCCTAGAGGATAAAAAGGGGCCTCGTGCTGATGCCTGCAGGACAGTCAGCCCCAGAGCATCACCCACCCAGCTCTTTCTCCAATATTATCTTTTTTTCCAGGCTGACCTTTTTCCTTTCCAGGTCCAGGGGCATTGCTACGGTCGGATTGCTGTTTTTCAGAGCCGTGAAGACATTTCCCCTGCTCTTCAGGTTTTGTCTTCCTGGTAGCAATTGTCACAAATTTTGCGGTTTTAGGCCTTGGGTGGAATCCTTTAGTTCAGCAACCAAGGAAGGGGTGTCGTGGTGACTCACCCTTTTTGGTGGTGGCAATATCAGGGTTCCCCATTAGAGGGGTCCTGAGGGGAGTCTCTGACCACAAGCACTCAGCAATGCAGGAGGGGGCCAGCTGTGTAAAGGCAAATTTTGCAGGGTCCCCAGTGCCGGAGTTACGAAAAAGCTAACGCTCTCTTGGGGCCCCCCAAAAAAATTTACAGGAAAAACACACCTGGATGTACATTTCCAAAATATAATATAAAAAACAAATAAATTAAAACCTACATACAGCAACAGTGTTTTGTGTTGTGTATGGACCTATTAGGTCCATAAATTACCATATAGCGTATATTCAACACAAAAAACAGCGACAATTTGTTGTTGACAAAGGACAGCTGGACATATAAAGGGCCCCATTACCTTCAGTAGCTTAGGGCCTCATCAAACCTAAATCCGGCCCTGAGTGTCCCCATATTCCCAATTGACCCTGTCTTGCCTCAGACCCCAGCTGGGGGCTGAGAGGGCTATACGCCCAATGCCTAAGCCATCTGAAATTTACCGTATTTTTCGCTCCATAGGACGCACTTTTTCCCCTCCAAAAATGAAGGGGAAATGTGTGTGCGTCCTATGGAGCAAATGCAGAGCTTTCGCTGAAGCCTGGAGAGCGAGAGGCATCGGTGCGCACCGACCCTCTCGCTCTCCAGGCTTCAGAAGCTATCCGCAAGCCTTGCACGCCCGGTGGGAGTTCCCGCGGGCCCCCACGGCTTGCAGGCAGCAGCCCGCAGCCCCGGCGAGTGTCCGCAACCCTGGCGCGCCCGGCAGTAGGTCCCGCCGAGCGCGCAAGGCTTGGGCGGCAGCTTGTCGCCCGAGCACAGGGAGCCCTCCGGAGGGCTCCCGTGCTTCGGGCGAGTGTCTGCAAGCCTGGCGCGCCCGGTGGGAGGTCCCGCCGCGCGCGCGAGGCTTCGGGCGAGTGTCTGCAAGCCTTGCGCGCCCGGCAGGAGGTCCCGCCGAGCGCGCGAGGCTTGGGGCGGCAGCTGCGGTGGGGGGGGGATAATTTTTTTTATTCATTTCCCCCCCCAAAAAACGAGGTGCGTCCTATGGGCCGGTGCGCCCTATAGACCGAAAAATACGGTAATAAAGTTGTGGCCATTTTAATCCCAAATATGTTGTCATGTGTTTTCCTTGGACTGAGATCTGGCTCCCAGAGTGAGGTGGGGACAACATCTGGGCAGGCAAACTCCTCGCTTCTTAAGTACCTAGGAAATGCTGTTTTCCATGCTCTGGGTGGGTGTGGGGAAAGAGCCAAATAATAACCCCCTAGATTTCCCCTGCAATTCCAGTTATAAGCCTGACCTTTAAAGCATTTTGAGCAGGGTAACATTCAGAGAAGGTGCCCACGAGCATGACAACAAGGCTTGAATTTGCACGACATTGGCACATTTCCTCAAAATAAGAGAACCTGTCACTGAGAAATATGTAGACAGGGGGAAATTTCTGGATTAACTGTTCAAAGTGTAAAATAATATGTCATTTTATTGCTGCCCTTAAGGAGCAGGTGTCACTTGGCATCATTTGCAATGGCAGTCTCGTGACGCAGTGCTAAGTCCAAGCCTTCCAAGACCAACTCACTGCAGAAGACGTTAGTTAGCGAAACAAATGGGTGTCCGCTCCAATTACCTTGATTGTCCCTTAGAGTAAAGTTGGGGTTGTTAGCTGCCTCGGGAGCCAAGCTATAGTAGAAGTGCTGTCCCTCTTGTGGGTCGTCCTGGTCAATCGCGCTCACTGTCTGAATCAGCTGTAGGAGGGGAGAGCAAAACAAAGGATCTGATGAGAGCTCCAGTGCAGGAGAAAGCTCTGTTTCAGGATTGCAAGGAAAAGCCAAGCCCAGATTCATCTTCTTGAGGGAGCAGGGATCTATGAAGGCAATCAATATGTTGCCAGAATCAATGGTGAGTGAAATGATTAAAAACAGAATGGGCGAACCTAAGCTGGCTAAAATATGAGAAGGGCAAATTAACATTTGGATGTCCCATAGACAGGAGACGGAGCGTATGCTTTGTGTGTAGGAGGTCACAGGTTCAGTCCCTGGTATGCCTGTGAACCTTCCCCAGCACGCCCCCTTTCTGATAGTTCAGTGGGTAGAGCTTGAGACTCTTAACCTCAGGGTCATGGGTTTGAGGCCCATGTTGGACAAAAGATTCCTGCATTCTTTGTGGTCCCTCCCAACTCTGCAATTCTGAGTCTATGACACTGGAGCTTTGACCTTGAGAAGGCCAGAGCTGCTGAGGTTATGGAGTGGGAGGCTTTCAGAATCTGTCTCCATCTCTCAGGGAGGAAGATCTGAAATAGCCTGTGGCCCTGAAGACGCCCACCAGGATCATAGGACTAAAGAAACTTTGCATGTAACTCTAGGAGACCTCCTAGACACAACTTCTGCTTCAAGAAGAGCCTTGCAAATCCAAAGGGTTGTGCCCAACGGTTGTATGAGCATGAAGGCACCTCGTGCAACTGAACTTTCTCTTCCCCCCTCCTGCCCTGTGCCTCACTACAAACCTTCTTCTGAGGGTCCAAGGGGGGCTGACTGGTAGGGGCTGCCCTGTAATGCAGCTGCAGTGTGAGAGGGGAACTGGCTGGAATTAAGCAGAGAGATCTTGCTCCAGCTCTGCTGCTATGAGACCTCTCTGTTTATTCTCCAGCTTTCTGGAGTTGGATTTGCAGGCTGCAGGAGGTGAGGACGAGGGGAAGATAAAGACTGGTTGGATGAGCTGCCTTGGGTTAGTGCATCCACTGGATGCAACTCAAATACTTGCATGCTGCCAAAAATTGTAAGAGAAAGAGGGAGGTAAATCACTCATTCTGTATTTTCATATGAAGGATGCTTGCATGGTCAGATTTGTATTTAATTGCATTTTGGACTGGAAAAGGAGAAAAGAAAAAGTGCTGTTTCAACTTGTATCTAAATATAAAACAGGACCATGTGGGGATACCTTCACAGTAAGCATTAACCACGGAGAATGTCAGAGAAAGGTTAATATATGTGATTTCTTGCAGATGTAGCTGTGAATGAAATATGCAGAACTGCACTGGGTAGTGAGAAATGAGCTAAAAGGGAGTCAAAACAAATTCTCAATAGTTCTTTGGATTCAGGAACACAGGTAGCTGTTAAACAAACTCCATGCCCTGGCCGTACCTGCACCCCAAAGCCTGCATAATAACCCTGGAAGTAAAAGGCCACAATGATTTAGCTGATCCAAGTTAAAGGGTCTTCTCTGGCATTCTGCTAGTTCACCCACCATTATTCCTCAACTCACTGGTAGCTCTGAAGCAGAAATATTAAGAGTCACTACTATGCCGGCATGGGACGCGGGTGGCGCTGTGGGCTAAACCACTGAGCCTTGGGCTTGCCAATCAAAAGGTAGGTGGTTCAAATCCCTGTGATGGGGTGAGCTCCTGTTGCTCGGTCCCAGCTCCTGCCAACCTAGCAGTTCGAAAGCACGCCAAAAATTGCAAGTAGATTAAGAGGTACCTTTCTGGCGGGAAGGTAAATGGCGTTTCTGTGCACTGCTCTGGTTTTGGTATTCCATTGTGCCAGAAGCGGCTTAGTCATGCTGGCCACATGACCTGGAAAAACTGTCTGCGGAGTGGACAAATGCAGGCTCCGTTGGCCTGTAAAGCAAGATGAGTGCCACAACCCCAGAGTCGTTTGCGACTGGACTTAACTGTCAGGGGTCCCTTTACCTCTTACTATGCTGGCATTGCACAAAACATTAATTCATGGGTCCGAAAAGTGCTAATTTTCTAGAAAAAGAGGTGCCGGAACTCACCATGAATGCCACCCTCTTTCTGTCAGAATGGCAGTCGCACCCACCTGAGTTCTGGCAAGTTCCCCCTGGGAAAAAAAGCCCTGGGTCCACAGGTAGTACCCTTAAATCCCTCTAATTTTGTAAGCTCAGGCTATACAGTGGAGTATTCACACAGAAGATGGTGCAGTTTTTCTTAGCTTCTCTCACCTGTCCGGCTTTAGCATTTTCACATACAAAAGCCTCGTAGAACCTGGAGAATTCTGGAGCGTTGTCATTCACATCCAGCACTCTTATCGTGACAGAAACACTGCCAACCTGCGAGGGGTTGTCTGAAAGAAGGTAGAACGAAGCAAAAAAAATCAGAGTGGCTTGGCCCTGGTGTATATTAATCTTGGTGCCATGCATTACATTTGAGAGTTGCGGTTGCTCAAGAAGAGCAGGCAGACCTGCAGTGCGTTATAGCACATGTTGAGCTCTTGAGGCTCTGCTTTCATTACTTGATGTGTCTAGAAGGTTCGAGCCCACCAGGGACAGCTGTGGGCAGAGGGATGGACCAGATGACCCTCAAGGACCCTTCCAACTCTGCAATTCTGTGATTCTATAAAAATTTTCTAGTGTGTTCAGAGGAGTAACTAGGCTCCTTTGCACCCTTGGCAAGGAGCTATATCAGTGTCCCCTTGCAAGGAGCTGTGTCGGCAACCCCCACCCCTTAAACCCTTGGCTAGGAGAAATATTGGTGCCCTCCCCCAAACGGCGGAGGAGCAAACTGGAGAATGTTTGGATGGCTGGGCAGGCTCCAAGCCAGAGTGGAGAGGCATGATTTTTGTGCACACACACGAGCCTGCGCCTTTCGTGAGGGCCAACCTGCCCAGTCCCTAGGAATGCTCCTGAGTCTCTTACACAAAGTGCTTGTTGCATTTATGTATGAAAAATTGAAGAGTCAAACGTCTTCACAATTTCTGACTCAGATTGATAGAAAAGTGTTCCCACAGCACGATTAGTGTTTCTGAAAGTGTGAATTACGTAGGTTCCTTTTAAAATGCAAACCAAACTAATTTCCTCCCCCATCGGATGAGAATGTGACACAGATAACTTTTTTTGAAAAAAATGACCCTTGTCTGCTGTAATGTCTATTTCCGGCCAGTGTTTCATACACTGAAACTCTAAATATGTACGGGGGCAGAAGGTTTCTCAGAAATGCCACAGTAGTTCTCAAGCAACAGTGACCCCTACGTTTCGGTACATATCTGAGACCCTAGTAAGCAGCTTTCCCTGCCCTAAACACGGGTTTATTACAAAATTATTTCTAGAGGCCACTAAAAAAAGCAAGCAAGCAGATGGTGATAACAGTCGCTTGCTACTGGCTCAAGGAGGTTTTGAACCAGTGACCTAGAAGTGAAAGGCTCTGAGCTCATTAGCAAATCCCTGAGCCATTCAATCCTTCCTGATAATGCTGCTTTCTACTCTGATAAGCCCTGTAATATTCAGAGCATCTGTTTTTGCTACTAATAGTTCTTGGGGGCGAGAGTGTGTGTGCTAGCTCTTATCTGAACTTCATTTTTTTTTATTTTAAAAAAAAAAGCAAGAAAGAGAAATTAAACAACAATTCCCTTGAATGCTAATGGTTTGAGTAAACATTTCATTTGCAGACCTCCCTAGGAGCGTAAAAATTAAATGCTACTTTCATTCCCTCAATCAGATGCAAAGCGTGGCTTCCACTGCAGTGCATATAAATATGCATGTCATACGGCTTGTGTAGGCTGAACTCGGGCTGTTTCTTAACTGCAATGAAGTTATCGAGGAAGCAGTCCTATGCGCATGAGGCTGGTGTAGAGCGAGCCAGTGTAAAGTTGCACCACATCCAAACCCCATCCTAAGCCTGGCAGAAGGAGAACAAGCCTTTAAAATAAATGTCCTATGCCAGGTTGCCAAGTCACATGACTGAGCTGAATGGGATTATGATCCAGCCTATGTCTCCTCTTTCTGGTCCCACCCCAGAATGCCCCCTTTGGGGGACTTACACTGGCCTCAGCTCAGCAAACTTTGGCTGAGCTGAACAAGTTATGCTGGCTCTGGCTGAGCCGGGGTTGGGGTCTGAACTAGGAATTAGCCAGCTGAGCCAGAAATCCACAGTGAATCTTGCCATAGGATTGGACCACCCCAAGAGTCTGCCAGAGTTGGTTTTAAATGCTGGTTAAATTGGAACCCCAGTAAAATACATCTGGAGATAACTGGAGTAAGGAACGTGCTTATACAGTGGTACCTCGGGTACGCTTCAGGTTACAGACTCCGCTAACCCAGAAATAGTACCTCGGATTAAGAACTTTGCTTCAGGATGAGAACAGAAATTGTGCTCCAGTGGTGCGGCAGCAGCAGGAGGCCCAATTAGCTAAAGTGGTGCTTCAGGTTAAGAACAGTTTCAGGTTAAGAACGGACCTTCCGGAACGAATTAAGTACATAACCAGAGGTACCACTGTATTGAACTCTTGTGTTTCCATGTTAATAAACAATAAAACATAATTGAAAGGAGGATAAGATGGAGATAAATGTGCAGCAGCCGAAAATGTTGAAACAAACATATTTGCATGGTTTTTGTTCTCCTTACTCAGCTCCACAGCCAGGACGGTGATATTGTGCCATGAAATGTCTTCCCGATCCAGAGGTCTTGCAGTCATCAGAGCACCTGTTGCAATGTCAACATAAAAGAAGCGTCCGGGATCACTGCTTCGATCAATGGAATACCTGTAAAAAAGCATACATTTAGAAGGCATTATATGCAAGGCATAAATCATTCCTAATCAAGGTTCCGTTCAGGTTCATTGGTAATTTTTAATTCTCTGGTTTGCTTCTAGTTCAGACACTAAATTTAAAGCATGGCTTGATAATTTGTTTGATTGCTTTTATCCTATAATATTTTTTTTAAAATAAAAACAACAACAACTAGAATAGCAAGAATAGTTGAAAACAATTATAACTAATTTTGAACATTCTTTTTGGTTTCTCCTGACAGTGAATAATAAATAAAATGCTCTGTTGTTCTATTATACTACTGTATAATAGTTATTTTCACCTGATCTGAAAATGAATATAAGAACTGAAAAAGCTGCAGAAGTGAAAATGAATAAGGACATGTTGCAACTTCAAAAGAGAAAAGGCAAGAGAGTATGAGACTTCCTTTCTTCAGTTTAGGAAAATAAATTACAACTAAGATGGACAAGAGTGACTTTTACCAAATTATGACTGGTTGGAGAGCAGATAGGATATTTTTTCCTACCCCAGACCCAAATAAGTCAATTGGCACAGCAGGTTGAGGACAGACAAAAAGAAATACAGTCATGTGGCATCGTACGTGAAGATTCAGCTCTAAGGGTCACACATATGCAAAAATTCCATATAATCAAAATTACGGGGGTCTCTTCTGTGTCTGTGCTGTCTCCCCTCCATGTGTAAAGCAAGAAGAGGGAAATGAGCAGAGAGAGACGAAGGCAGAATGGATCATTCAAAAGTATTAAATGAAATGGGGTCCGCTGTACTGGGGTTCATCTATGTTAAAATGTTTATCACAGCTTTATTGACTGATGATTTTTTGCAAATCCATTTGACTGCCTGAGCCAGTCTCCCTAACTAGCAATATGGGAATCATAAAACTGGCCTACCTTCTGGATTGACCCACTGTTGCATCTGGTAAGGGGGGGGGGGACAGATGCAAAGTATGTTGACAACATTATATATCTTTAGGTGCCAGGCAAAGTTTCCTCTATAACCAGGCCTTTGGCTCTGAACTATCCGTGGTCTTTTAGCAGTGGGTGGGAATATTTTCATGCAACCACTACCCCCAGCTCGGTTTCAATGTATCTACATGGCGTGTGTTTGTAAGTTGCTTTGGGTTGCCTTGGTCAAAATAAAGTGACCAACACATTTACCGTATTTTTCGCTCTATAGTACGCACTTTTTGACCTCCAAAAATTAAGGGGAAATGTGTGTGCGTCCTATAGAGCGAATGCAGGCTGCGCGGCTAAGCCCAAAGCCAGAACAGGGAGACAGAGCGCTGTGGAGCGCTCCGTCTTGCTGTTCTAGCTTGGGGGTGGCTGCGAGCAAAGCCTCTGCAGGGCAGCGGGGTGCCTTCACCCCGCTACCCTGCAGAGGCTAGAAAGGCTGTTCCCAAGCCAAAACAGTGAGACGGAGGGCTCCGTCTCGCTCTTCTAGCTTTGGGATGGCTGCACAAAGCTATCCCTGAAGCCTTTGGAGCACAGTGGGACCTGCGCTCCAAAGGCTTCAGGGATCTTTGAAGCTGGCACTTCCCCCCACCGCCAGCCCCAAACAGCAGGTCGAAAGAAACCTGAAGCCTCCAGAGCCCAGTGGGAACTCCCCCCCGCACTTCAGGTTGCCTTCACTGAAGCCTGGAGAGCGAGAGGGGTCAGTGCGCACCGACCCCTCTCGCTCTCCGGGCTTCCAAGGTAGCCTTCCAAGGAACTCCCGCTGCGCTCCGGAGGCTTTGGGTGAATGCACCTTGAACGCACCTTGTTTTAGAGGGGGAGAACAAGAAAAAAAAATTTCCCCTGTTCTCCCCCTCCTATGGTCTGGTGCTTCCTATGGTCCAGTGCATCCTATAGAGCGAAAAATATGGTAAATAACAACAATAAGTAGAGAGTGCTATACAAACAGTGAGCTGCAATTTGTGACCAGTGCTGCTGCACAAGTGGAGTTCTGCTCACACAAAGGGATTCCTCTTTGCTCCTGTTCCTTGCATGACCCCAAAATCTGCCCCACAGATTCTCCCAACTCTTTGGAGAAGATTTTGAGGGTTTACAGAGAGCTGGGGGAGGGGAGGGTAAAGTCCCATTAAGGAAGCGGAAGTATGTTGTGCAAGCAGAAGAACTGTGTGGGACGCAACCCAACGTGTTCTAATTGTGCAAGGGAAACACGCGGCAAAGGAAACGCAAGGCACACAACGTTGTTGAACTGCTTTGAAAGAAAGAAGCAGCTTTGTTTAGTCAAAGAATAAGAAGAAGGGAGGAAAAATCATCATTGTGAATGCTCTCTCTCACTTTTAAAATAAAGATGTATCCCCCAGTCTGCTAGATTTATTAAGGAAAGCCACACAAAAGCTTTAGATTGTGAAATAATGATCTGTCTTGCAAACGCCCATTGAAAAAAATTCTCCTCTGACAGTTTAGGGCATACTTGTATCTGAAATTGAATATGGCCTTGTGATTAGTGGTGCAACATTAATCACTGGTGTCATGCAGCACAGGTGGAGTTTTTCTACTGCATTCTTTGCACATGTTTGCCTATTATTAATAATTGGTTCTCAGCACTCGAGTCCATTGAACTGTTTACATAATCTCCCTTAGTCATTCTGAATTAATCAGGCCATGCCTTCAGCAATCAGCATCTCCCAATGTGGGCAATCCAGATGTCAAGAAAGGCAGGGATAAGAGGATTTGAGAGTTTCTGGTGCGTTCGGTGAGCATTCTGGTAATACGGCCCGCCTTTCTGAAATTCCGTTGACAAACATAGCATTGCCCTTATTTATTGAAATAACCACTGGAATCCCCGAACATTTTCCGGTGGAATTGTGCTTATGGGATGCCCGCAAAACCAAATTATATCAGTTATAATTCAGCTGTGTACTACTGGCATATCATGGGGTAAGACTAAGATCTGTTCATTAAACCATCTATAATACTAAAATTGTAAGTAGCCACATTGGTCTATGGGGGCGGGGGGAGAGAATCTAATAGGGCAGACTGAAATATCAGAAAGTTGTGAGCAAGCTTTCAAGTTCTCCAGAACTCTTGTTCACACTGTCTGTATTTAATAAAACATCCTGTGAAGGCTGCTGGAGGCTTCAAACTTTGAGGATTTTACAGGGTAGAGCACAATATTTAGCATGTAGAAAGCCCCGGGAGAATATGTGGTGGTGGTGGTGGTGGTGGTGGTGGTGGTGGTGAGAGACACAAGAGTTTGTTATTTTGAAGACACAGAAACAGAGACATCAGGGGGTTGAAGTGCTTTGGTGTGCAAAGTCTGTCTGGGCATCTGATGCAGATTTGCTACCTTGTAGGAGTTCCCCTTTTTTCCTCCCTGTGCTATCTGGTTATATATTTATAAATGAAGCAAAAATGTCCTAGGCCCTCACAGTGCTCTGTCACTCAAAGGAAACGAAACCCCTGGAATGTGTCACCCCCCCTCCCGCCCCGGGGCAGCTGGAGAGTGCATAACAATAGATCACTGTGCTCACCAGACTTTCAAGAAAGAGATTCCCTTTACTTCCACATCTATATGAAGACCCACCTATCCCAAATCTTCTTTTCTACCTATAGCCCATGAAGCTTTAAAGAAACTATAGCAAGGGGTGCATATTTGCACACATCCCCTTGGCCAAAGTCTCCTGCTTCGAGAGGAAGATGAGACATTACGGTAAGATTGAGAGACCTGAAGAAAGGAGAGCACGTTTCCCCTCTTTTCACATAATAAATTATCACGCAATCATTACTCAGTTGCTCTGGACAGTTCCAGATGTCTTTCCTCAGGCAAAACTTCCATGACAAGGAGCTTCAGTTTCCTGAAATTTGTGGGAGGCCTAGACTGGGCCACATGTTACGCTGGTCATGTAAATACATACTGATGAACATTTACTGTTCCCAACTCTAATCCTGCGGAAAGCCATCTAATTAGATGTTAATTTGATCCTGACTTGTTTTTAGGAGGTAATTTAATTATTGTTTGATTTTATACCAATGTTATGTATTTGATGTTAGCCGCCCTGAGCCCAGTCTCGGCTGGGGAGGGCGGGAGTAGTAGTTATTATTATTATTATTATTATTCTTCTCATTATTATTATTCTCAGAGTGTAACAGTGTAGAATGGGATTATTTTGAGCAGGGATGACCTAAACCATCCTTTTGTTGCCTGAATAGTAAGCTGCAACCTCCTCACTGACAGAGACTCAATACCATCTGTCCTAAATTGATAATGGTTAATTAACTCTGGAGGCACTGGAGAGAGCCAGTTCTTAAATCTTGCCTCTGATTCAGAGAGGACAAGTAAATGGTGATTTTGCCTGCACAAAATAATGTATAGCCTTGCTAGCATCTAAGGTTAAGCATTTATTTGAAACTGGCAGATTAATATTCTTCAGCCTTTTATATGTGTCTGTGGGAAGGGGGGTGTTATTGTTTCGTTTTAATTATTTACTTGTTCTAATTCTGTATTTCATTCTGTGAACTTGCCCTGAGATCTTATGACGAAGGGTGGCATATAAATCCTATTAAATAAAGAATAATAAATTTCTGAATCTGCATTACTCGCCTAAAGCAACAAGAACAATCCTAGGAGTTAACATAGTGGATATTTAGGATGATGGGGGGAAAAGAGAAACAAGGAAAGAAAGGAACCTGATGGAGTTGTTGGTCACATCCGGGTCCTTGGCATAAATCATTTGTATGGTGGTCCCAATGTCCACATCTTCAGGGACTTCCACGAAATAAAAGCTAGGCTCAAAGAGTGGGGGTTCTTCCACATCCTCAACGGTGATGTGTACAGTTGCCGTGTCACGGAAAGGGCCCAGGTTCAGGAAGCGCATTTCTAAGTGGGGATTGGCACCCTCCACCTTTAAAGTGTAGCTCTTCTTCCTCTCAAAGTTCAAGGGCTGAAGGCGAAGAAGAAATAAAGCATTAGAAGACCTCCTCTGGGACTGAACAGAACGTCATGAGCCATACCACCCAATTCCTTTAAAAGAAAACACTTCCCGTTTAAACTCGTATCACTTACATTGTATGTAACCGGCTGGATGAACACGACAGCCCCACAACTTTGCTGCTTTCATTTTAACAAAATGCATCCCAGATATTATTGTAATAATCGGGTGAGGGTTGTGCAAGCAGTCACAGAGGATAGCCAGGTCTAGCATGTCATCTTGTGCCCCAGTCCAGTTCCAGCAGTAGCCAGGATTGGGCGCCAGTATGTGTTCACCACACGCACCCCCCAAATCCAAATAGGAACAGCAAGAAGAAGGCTTTGCTCTTTTGAACTCAGGGTTTTTTGTTTTGTTTTGTATTTTTTGCAAATTAGGTCCTTCCAAAGATGCAGAGCTGCTACAGAGAAGGCCCATTCACATGCCACCACTTCTTGAATTCCCTTATGGTGGAATCACCAATAGGGTACCCCCCGTAGAACTTAATTCATGGACAGGCTGATACGGAAGGAGTCAGTCTTTCAGATATTTGGGTCCCAAGCCACTTGTCAGCATCAGCACCATGAACTGGGCTCAGAAATTGACTCGCAAGCAGTGCATTTTTAAAAAAACACTGGTGTTGCACAAGTTCAACCAGCTATTCCTATCCGCTCTCTGGACACTGCATTCTGCACTTGCTGCAGCTTCCAGACAGTCTTCAAGAGCAGCCCCATGTAGAGTCTGTTGCAAAAGTCCAGTCTGGAATTTGCCAGAACATGGGCTACAGTGGTCAGGTTTTTTCCTATTCAGGAATGCCCATCGCTGGTGAAGCAGCCATACCTGAGAGGAGATACTCCCTGACACTGGAGCCACTTGGGCTTCAGGTGACAAAACCAGATCAAGGAGCACTCACTCCCCCAACCCCTCCCCATATACCTGCTCCTTCAAGGGGGTGCAACTCCATCAAGGACAGGCTTTCTGCCCACATCCTGGACATGGGAGCCCACAGTCCACAGCACCTGAGTCTTACCAGGATTCAGTTTAATACCCCACACCTAGCTATGTGTGTTAAGCACTTTGAGCATATAACAAAAATGTTGTACATAATGCATTTAATTATATTTTAATTGCTATAATTCAGCCAGGGTGAAGCACCATTAATTTTATTTATTTCAATGTGGGAGAGTTAAGCACATGGCTTAGCTATTCCACGGAAATTAGCAACGTTCAAATGTATTCTGTTTTGGCTGTTCTTCTAAGTCCTTTATTATTATTGCCTAAACGTTAGAGGGAGGGCTTTATCACAAAGCGAACCTGGTACCGAAAGGCAACCGTACTAACGTCTTCCTTTTGCAGAAGACATTCTTTTTTTCCCATGCTGGTTTTTCATGCCCTTTCTTGATACAGTTTTACATGCGAAGGAAATTGATGCCGATAATTGTACTGCAGTGATACTTAGCGTGCACTTTTTATGTATAACAATAAAATGATAATTGAAAAGAATCTTAGCGGCAAGAGCAAAGCGAAGCCTAGGAATGTCCAAAGAACCTTCATAAAAGTGGATCTAGCAATGGTTGCAAGGGTCTTTTAGAGCATTATGAGGCCTCCTGCTGATAATTTAATTTCCAAGAATACAATGGTTATACGCTCTTTACTTTTACATAATGGGTAGTTTAATGCTGAATATTAGCAAAATGGAATCCTTGTAACTGGCACAGATTTTGATCAAAACAAAATGTGTGCTTCTAAAGCTGTTGTCTTGGTTTTAGAGGCAAGCACTATCTTGGAAGAAGTTCAAATCTGTTCTGTGCACTGGGATTTATTTTTTTTTAAGCACAAATTGATAGTTTATATTTACTTTAATTTTGGGGATTTGTATCTTCTTGAGGAAGGCATATGCTGAATGGAGGAATGCATTAATTAACACAGTCAGCAACAGCAAATCCCAGTTTGCTAGCAAACACTCAGCAGGGAACTATGCCAGTCTAGGAACATCCCTCAAGAACAATACATGAGACATGTGTTTGCAGATAGATAGATGATAGATAGATGTATATGTGTGTGTGTATTACATTTTTGGTATTATTCATCAAATATCTTACATGTCCAAGTGAAAATGTAATGGCCCACTGAAGCCAATGGGACTTTACCTGGAACAGCCCCAATGAGTGAACAAGATTTTTTTTTAGAAATAATTGAAATTTTAAATAAGCAGACAAAACTGAGTAATGGCACAACTGAGACAGTCAGAAGGATGGCTCACATGCTAGTTGCTTTGGATGAAAACTGTTTGTTACATTGCAGGCACATGCAATGAAGTCCTGCTGGCACGTTTCACTTGCAACGTATCCTCCGGAAGGGGCCATTTGCATCAGAGTGCTTAACCTTTCCCCCTAAAACTTCCCCCTAAAACCCCCAGCTTCTTTTAACTTGATGTTCTTTTAACTCTGCCTATGCCAGCCTCTCCGAGAATGGAAAAGATGCGAGAATACTTTTAATTTGTACAACTGATTGCTTCCCCCCTTCTTTTAAAAACCCATTTTAAACTGATTTACGTTAGGCTCCTATACTCCCCAAAGTGAAAATCCAGACAAAGTTGTTGAGCTTTGTCTCCCCCCAAAAATCTAAGTTTTTGCCTTTATTTGAATTTTATAAATTTTCCCCAGACATTTTGCCAATTTCCTGCCCAATTCCCAGATGTATGGCAGCCCTATCCTAAACTCAACAGTAAGTCCCATTGAACTCAAGAGAGGTTACTTTTGAGTAGACATGAATAGGATTGCACTATCAATGGACGTAGTTGTATTAGTTGTATAAGTTGTAGAATGCAAAGTAGTAATAAAAATAATTACTATAACAATATTTTATCGCAGTGGAAATTGCATTTGCAGTAATGGTTGCACTTTGCTGAGGAATGAACGTGTTACCTTTCTCACTGTGATGACACCAACTTGGCGATTAGGTTCGGTGGCAATATCAAAGACATCCAGTCCATCCCCATCCACAAAGCTGTATTTCATTTCAGCGTTAATGCCTTCATCCAAATCTTTAGCAAGGACACGGCCCACAGTAGAGCTAACTGGAGCAGACTCCAGAACGCTCATCTGATAATGTTCTGGGGGGGGAAAAAAAGTTAATTGTGAAATAAAATAAATAAGTTCAATAATATTTAAAAAGAGAACAATGCCGTCAAAATTAAGCCTTTGCAAGCTCCATGCTGATTTCAGTGGAAATCAAATCATATCAAATCATTTAAAATCAAAAGGCCTGAAAATGCCTAACTGGCTGAATTCTTTATGCCCTAAATACATTACAAGACTTACAGAAATGAAATGAAGTAGCCACTGTGAGTAAGTCTATGACAGCACCATCCTAACTATTTCTATTCAGTAGTGAATCCTATTTAATTCAATGGGGCTTACTTCCAGGTAAGCAGAGTTAGGATTGCAACCTTAAACTCTGAAGTTCCTTATGCTGGGCTGTGGAAGCACATGGTCAACTCCAGGGTAGAAAAATCCAAACAAATTTAAACCCCCCTTGCTGAGTTTCAATAGCTCTCTTGACATATCGGGGGCATATTTAAATTGTTCGTATCAAACCATCCGTTCTTCCTGTGGCAAAGCTGATCTGAGAGCAAAACTTATGCATAACCAACAAATCTACAGAGTAAAAGGTTCCCCTTTGCTCCTTTGAATACACAGTAGCTTCGATTAATTCCTTCCTCTTGCAGCAGTATTTATTAACTCAAGAGTTGCACTTCAGACTAGCGCAGCAGGAGGAAATGGCAGTGTGTAATTCTTTGACTGAAAAGTAAAGTTGGTAGGGACATGAACAATGGAAGGCAACACCCGCCCCCCTCAAATGCAAGTGCTTAATTAATTGATGAGCAGTGTGGTATTTTAAATTTTAAAATGCGAGGGAATTTAGAAAGTAGGCATTGATCTGATTCCCACTGGAAATCACAGAGCTTTCTAGGGTATCACAAGAGTGTTCATTTTGTTCACCAGCACCAGCGAAACACGTCAAACATTTCACAAGATAAAAGACGGAAGCAGACTCCAGTCCTCAAGAGCTGATGACACAGTAAAAGCACAAACCTATAGACAGCAACTCAGAAGTAAGGCCCATGGAGTTCAGTGAGATTTACTCCCAGCTTTTAAGATGAAACATGATTCTTTGCTGTTGCTACAAAGACTATCATAGGTACCAACCAGTCCGAAAGTTATCAATCCTGCCGAGTAGGGATGGGGAACTCACAGCACTGCAGGTGCTGTTGGACTACAACTTCCATCTTCTCTGACCACTGGTCATATTAGTTGGGGATGAAAGGAGTTGGGAGTCGAACAACAGCGCCACAAGTTCCCAACTCTGATACGGAGGGAAGTTTAGGTAGGAAGTGAAAGTCATTCTGTTGACTCGTACAAGACTCGTTCTAAGATCACCTTCATGAGAAATCTGCTGGAACAGAATCTGAGAGTCCAAATCTGTTGTTGTTGTTTATTAATTATAGCAATATACTTGCAGGTTGAAAGGTTTTATGAGAATCAGTGAATCTTCATAGGAATGTAGCCAGTATCTAGGGACACAGTGAAATCTACCCAGTATTTAGGCTGTTGACTATTTCTTAAACCTCTGAACTGAAGTTGAGCCTCTGTAGCAGCTGTGAAAATTTGATGCTTCCTGAAATGGTTTGCAGCTGCATAAGAAACTTAGGGTTATATTCTAATAACAGGTTTGCATCTTTTGGGCCACATTTTGTGCTGCTATGGTTTTCCCAGTAGTGATGTGTGGAAGTGAGAGCTGGACCACAAAGAAGGCTGATCGCTGAAGAATTGATGCTTTTGAATTATGGTGCTGGAGGAGACTCTTGAGAGTCCCATGGACTGCAAGAAGATCAAACCTCTCCATTCTGAAGGAAATCAGCCCTGAGTGCTCACTGGAAGGACAGATCCTGAAGCTGAGGCTCCAATACTTTGGCCACCTCATGAGAAGAGAAGACTCCTGGAAAAGACCCTGATGTTGGGAAAGATGGAGGGCACAAGGAGAAGGGGACGACAGAGGACGAGATGGTTGGACAGTGTTCTCGAAGCTACCAGCATGAGTTTGACCAAACTGCGGGAGGCAGTGGAAGACAGGAGTGCCTGGCATGCTCTGGTCCATGGGGTCACGAAGAGTCGGACATGACTAAACGACTAAACAACAACAACAAAGCTAAAGAGCACAAAAACTATTTTATGCTATCAGAAATTAATTTAGTTTGATAGCCTTCATTTAAACATGCAAAGAAATACACCCAAGTAAAGAGACAAAAAAAGATGAAAGACCATTTTTTTTAAAAAAGTTCAACACTTTTTAAGGAATCCTCAGCATCCCTTCTTTGCCTTTGAAGTCTTACTAAGGCTGGCAGCCACTAACGCTTCCTGGTATCCACTTAAAGCTTCATTCAGTACTAATACTGGAACTATCCATTCCTGATTTCTTCCCCACCGTTTGTCTTCCATTCTGCTCTCTTATACCTCCACCAACCCTTTCCTTCCCCTTCCCCTTGTCACACATGGGAAGCTGCCTACCCCTTTGCCTACATGCCAATATTTCTCTTTGTTCCTCCTCCTGTTGTTCCATCATGGTCCCCTCAACTCCGTCCAGGACTCTGTTGCCAAAAACATTCAACTCTCTGATCGCTCTGAAAAGCTCCAGATGTTTATCCTTAATCTCCAATACCCATCGCAGCATTCTCACTCCCTTATGGCCCTGGTGTAGTAGCCCTATATTCCTCTGCCTGTATATATGCGTGCTCCTCTACCCCCACAAACACCACCATCCTCTGCTGGTGGTGAAGATCTCCTGCTCCCTCAAATGACTGACCTGTCTCCCTTGCTGTTTCCTTTGCCCAGAACTGCCTCTCCAGATCTGCACTGTTTCCAAAGCCTTCCTCAGAACCCACCTTTTCTGTGAGGTCTATGTGAGCTCTTTAGTTCTTATCCCCTACGGCAACTAATCCTAAGTACTGATAAGTGCAGAATCTTGCCCTGTTTGCCCCTGCCTCCATTTTCTTCGTGTCTCTCTTCCACTTCACGTCAGATGTTAGACTGCAAGCTTCTTGGGGTGGCAATCTGTCTTCTTGATTCTTCAAACCATCATTGTTGTTGTTGTTGTTGTTGATAACTAGTAAAGCACATATTTACTGTGCAAATATTTTGTCACATCTTTTTATTTGGGCAACGTGCCAGAGATCTGCATATTGTGATGGACACTTATTGTGTGGAAATCTGGGTAGGGACAAAACAGTGCACCAGGAGAAGAATAACCTGGAATTAAGAAATGCCTATTGAGAAGCTCCGCCCGCCGCCCCCAAATGCTGAGACATCGTGGCTGAGACTTACTCTGTGGAAATCTGGGTGGGTTGTCATTGACATCAGACAGGGAGATATTGACTGTGGTCGTCCCAGCTAATCCTCCCAGCTGTCCGCCCATATCTTTGGCCTGGATAATCACTTCATAATATTCTTTTGCTTCTCTATCCATGTTCATTAGCGCTGTCCTAATTAAGCCTATGAAAATAGCAGGGAAAAATAAAGACACACACAAAAAGGCATTTAATTGAATAATGCACACAAAGTAACAAATTTACTAACCCGAGTATTGATTGGGAAATGCTTCCTTTTCAAGACGAAAAACAAAGTTTATAGGGAACCACCCAGAAAGGCATGCCTCTTTGCAGAATCAGAATGGACTATACTCTCAAGATACCAGGAACCAGATGCAACGCTGGTCCGCAGCCATGTCGGTGGAGTAATTTGTCATTCACGGAAGGAATTGCCATGAACAGATCACTTGGGAGTTAGTGAAAGAAGGGCTAGAGCCTAGTTCTTCCTTTTGCTTCATACAGAGATTACAGTAAGAAACAAGTACATCTTGCCTTCTTATATATTCTAAATTTGAGTAATTTGAATAAGTGAAAAGACACATTTTAGGTTGAGAGATAAGGGAATGCCTGTTTATTTTTTCAGGGCTATTTTAATTCTACAACAGAGAATACAAAAGAAAATGTTAAAAACAACCTTTCCTCCTAACATTGACTGCTAGCTGCTACTTCTGCCTTTCTTTCTTTTCTTAGTTATTTCAAATTTCCTTCAGTATTAATTTTTTTAAAGGCACCCTGATGGTAATGAAAATTAATCAGTTATTCATTTGAAAGGCAATTGATTAATAAGTTAGAATCCTTTGAATGGTGTGAAGTTCAAATAATTACTCTTCTGTGGTCATGCTATCATTAGGCACATAACTGATTTTGTGCTCTTGGTATTAGAATGCATATTTGCTGTTGCAAACAGGTTATAGCGGTGACTGAAGCTCTAATGTAATTAAACCAATTGTGCATGGCATGCAAAACAATGGTTCAGAACTTCATTATACTTCTTCAAGAGATGCCTGTGCTTTTGAATGTGGAACATGATGTGTAATTAAGCTAATTGCAATTAGGGATATGCATGCAATGCACAAAAGTGAATCGGAGCTACACTGCAAAAGTTGCACATGGAAACAGAGGCAGGATTCACTACCCCATAGTTAACATCCAGGGTTGTTGCAGTTAGTTTCCCTTCCTGAGAGTTTTACTGAAATAGAACATGAGGTGGCAGCAAGGTTTCTCTGATATACCCTGCCAAAAACGTCCAAGTTCAGTTGCTACCTTTGCTGAATACTATTTCTCATGGTTGTAGAAGAATGGACCCCTAGGGCTAAACGTCTCTGGACTTTTAGGGTAATATTTTATTATCTTGCTTTTTGTCTTTTCCTCAAAGGACCCCGGTGGAATAGTCGATCTCTTTATTTTTATTCTCAACTTAGCATCTGACTTCTCTCTCTCTCTGGATTTCAGTTTCCCTTCTTTAAGAAACAAAGACTATAACAACATCAGGTTGACATCAGGTTCACATTAAGTTTTCCAGGCCCTGTTCTCAGTTTAACCCACAGTATGGGGCTGAAACTGTAGGTTTTGGTTTGGCTGAGGATCTTCACCTAGAGATTGATGAGGTCAATTTTTTATCCTGTTGTTTCTATTTTACTTTTCTACAGACTTTGATAACATTGACCCTGAGGGACCGCTAATACAGGTCACAAGATTGTTCTCTGAAGCCCATATGCAACTGTTAACTTTGCTGATTTCCCCAACATTCATCCAATCTTATCTATTTTGCGTATTTCTTTTAACCTTCATTTTATTTATGTCATTTCCCACACTTAGGATCCGATGCAATGTCCACTGAAGTTAATAGTTCTTTTCCTTTCCATTGCACCATCCTACAATTGCTGCTGGACTCGACACATCATTTCTCATTCATGTTTTTAACACTTCTTGGTGCTTTATTGAGAAACAATGGGTTGCATAGTCTTTGATGACTTGCATTTTGAAGATGAAGCCTAAGGTGAATACTGAATGAAAGTTAATGGAAAATGTCACATTCTTGGCTGATTTTTCTCTTGAGTGAAATTACCTGTTCTGGAGTCCACAGAGAAATATGGCTGTCCTTGGAGAATGCTGTAGACTACCCTGGCACTGTTCCCATAGGTAGGATCATCAGCATCTGTTGCTGTCACTTGGATAACAGAGGTGCCTGACAAAAACAGTGTAGAACCTTGTTAGATTTGTAGCTGTGGAGAGAGGACACAGATCTAACTATGTTCAGTGAATTATAAATGTCCTGCTCTACAGAGTATTTATTTAGGAGCCTGTTCCCTTTCTAATGCTTGAGGAATTTACACACATAGCTCTTAGAACTAATGGGGGTTACAAGCACAAATCCCACCAGACATCATTGGATCAGTAAATAATCTATAGGATAACAGCACTTGTTGGTGAACTGTTAAGACCCACAGGGTGCTAAACTTGTCACCTTCTTTCTATTCTATAAGTCCTTCAGCTTTAAAATAAAACTTTAAATCATACTTGGTACTCTGCTACTGAAAAAAAGGATTATATGATGCAGAACAGAAGAACAATATCATAGGAAAAATGAGAACAACAAACTGCATTTAACAAACTGCATTCCAGAAACATTTGGTAGCAACCAAATTATATCTGGGCAATTAAATTGCATTTATCTAAGTAATGTCATTCCCAAAAGGTGAAAATGGATTGTATTTGCCAAAAAGCTTAATATTTGGGTGCAGAATTCTGAGAGTTGAAAATCTTAATTGGAGGTGCAGTTCTTTGTCTCATTGTTCTTGAAACCTGATAGCCCTAGTACAGGCTTCCTCAAACTCGGCCCTCCAGATGTTTTTGGCCTACAACTCTCACAATCTCTAGCTAGCAGGACCAGTGGTCATGGATGATGGGAACTGTAGTCTCAAAACATCTGGAGGGCTGAGGTTGAGGAAGCCTGCCCTGGTAGTTTTTATGCATGAATACTAATATAACATCCATGCAATGCTACAAATGGCATAAAGCATGATCTGGTCAATATTAAGCAGTTTTGAGTCTCACTAGTTAATGCCAGGGTTGGGCATGTTTTAATATGTTTCTCTTGAATTCAACAGGCCTTAAAAATACTTAGCTGTGGCTGTGTGAAGTAGGAGTGTGTATCACTAGTGTATTTCTTAGCATACTTCCCCCCACATTTATCTTTGCAGTCCTGGGGATTCGATTGTTTAAAAAGATATTGTTATATATACAAAACAAGAAACATGTCTGGTGTATAATAGAGCTATCACACATTCACCATTCCAAAGAACTTGTAGGTTTATGTGGAGGGAAAAAAGCAAATGAAAAGATGGAAAAGAGAAATGACACATTGTAATAGAATTCAAGAGCAAATGCATATATGCTTGGACAATGTTATTGGGAACAGAAAGATGGTGAGAAAAGTAAGAACCGTTAATGAGGATCTATTAAATATATTTCAGATCTGGCTCTTTATATGATATGATATATTCAATGTGAACGATATTTGTGGCTAGGATTTGAATATTGTTTAATAAACTGCAAAGAGTCAGGAGGTTACATTTTGTGCTATACATGCTCCTGCAAAAAGACCAATGGATTTCTTATCTCATAAACCTTTCCAAGTTTAAGGTGCTTTAAAACCACCTTTGCCTTTCTCTGATCTATGGGCAGCCAAAGTCCTTTTTAGCTCCAGGTGTAAAACTGGCCAGTGCTCATGACTGATCTAATTTACACAGGCTGATGATGGGCCCCTGGGGACCCAGCACAGCTTGGAAATCAATGAAGCGCAAGGCTTGTTGCCACAGGTCTTCATGGCTCTGTGCTTATGGCTCTTTCTTTGCTCTTTGTAGTGGGCATATGAATGACAGGAAGCAAGCAGCACACCTTGGTGTAGCAGCAGAGGACTCCCCTAGCACCGCTTTTACAGCCACAGTCTACTGCAGGCCTGCACAACTTCTGAGCTACACATGCATGGTGGCCCAATGATCTTCCTATTGCTATCTGTTGGGTACTGTAGGATAAATATCTGGCAGTAGTCCTGTTGCTATTAAGCAAGTGCAAAGGGGGCAACTGGATGAAATGAAATCAAAACCAGTAAACAGTAAACTAGGGCGGAAGGAATTGCACAAGATGCTGCGAGAACAAAGGGGCTCAAGTGAACATTTAATCCATGGGCCTCTCAGAGCAGCCTGCTCAGGAAGCCACCAATATGTGGCTGTTGGGCTGTGTTCACCTTGGTAGGGTACAAGCCTCAACTACAGAACTTGCTGGCAAACAGAGCAATTGTGCCACAGTTTCTACCTCTGGAGAGGTTTTCCACTTCAGCAATAAACAGTACAAAGCAAACTGCACAGCCAATGGGAGGGAAGTTTCACGAGAAGTTTAAGGGTCATACATTTCCTGGTTTCTTCCCTACACAGCTAGGAAAAACAGAATATAGGCTGAGGGAAAAACTAGACAGATCAAAGAAGGTTCCCTGCCACCTAGGAATCACTATTTTATAACTATCCTACGCTCCACATAGGCTGAAATTAAAATCTAAACTGTAAACCCAGTTCCCGCCCTTCCTTTTGCAATCTTTCAGCTAGGGAGCTGGAATAAAGGCCAAATATTTCTTTAGCATACTAACTGGCTTGTTTTCTATATATCGAAAGCATGTTCTCAAAAGTCCCACTTACCTACTGGAGACATTTCTGGTACCGAAGCAACATATGGTCCATCCAGGAACTTGGGTTCATTGTCATTGATATCTTGGATTTTGATGATAAATTCAGATTCCGGCTCCATCGGCCTGCCAGTCAGTCTATCCAAGGCTTGAGCCCTCAGAGTATACTGGGATCTCTCTTCTCGGTCCAGCCTCTGAATGGCATGGATATCCCCAGTTGCGTCATCAATGGTAAACACAATGCCTGCTCCTTCTCCCGACAGTATGTATTTGATGGATCCATCTCCTCTGTCCATATCAGAATGCAACTGCAAAGAGTAACCATATGTAGTTGGAACTTAGCTCAAAGTATATGTGAAGAGCTATTTAATGCATTTGGTTCAGGACATTTTGATTTTGTGGTAGAGAAAGGCAAACAACTTCTGGTTATCATCCCCGCCACCAACTATCACCATCATCATTAGTGCGCCATGTGTTTTAGTTGAACAAGCTGCTTCTTCCTGCCTTGGTTCTGTGGGACAAAGTAAACAGGTTGCAGTCTTGGGGTTTAGTTGAGGCAAAACTCACTAGGAAGAGTAAGCAGGTTTGACGAAGGTCTGTCATTCACTTCTATGGGGGAAAATGAAGCACTGAACTTAGGAACAACTTTGTGGTTGGGGCAAAACATGCCCAATACCCTTGTCAGTGTTATGTGTGTCAAAGAGCGAGCTGGCAGTAAATCACACCGATCAAAGTTGGAGTTAACTCTTTATTAGCAAAAACACAGTCTTCACAGACTTGGCTGAGTGTCAGGCTTAATGAACACAGCAACCCATCCCTGGTAGGTTTTACCCCATGAATCAGTTGCTGAGATTGGAATTCCCCATTCCATTTAAGTCCCCTCCTCTCCATAACTTTTTCCAAGCAATTGGACTGCAACTGCATGAAGCCCTCTTCTTGTTCTGGGAGACAGAGGATGGGAGCTTTCATACAGGAGGGGGAGACATCTGTGACTCTCCACCAGCCTGACTAATCTCTTCCACTTGCCCTCCTTCCTTCCTCATCTCCTGCTTCAGCTTCTTCCTCTGATTCTAGACTTTTCTCTGCCACAAATAGAGGACAGCCCTCTGCAAAGTAGGGCATATAGCCACTCTAAAAAGGACTGTGACTCTACATCCCACCTACCCCACTCCATTTCCCCATGCCACAAAACTTGAAAGGCCCTTAGCTAGTGAACCCTCATACTACAAAACACATTTCTTTTTTAATGTCTAGGAAAGAAATAAGACCGTTAGTTGGCCTGCATTTTTCATACAAAAAGCAACTGCTTCTTTGCATATTTTATGATGGCCCCACACCCCAAATTAATATTTCATTATTAACCTAAGATTAAATTAAAGCAGGAAAGGAGCCTTATGGCAGTGAATTGATTTCATAGAGATTCATGGTGATTGCAGGAGGAAAAAAGACACAGCTGAACTATTAGGAAATGAAAAAGTTGTAACACAGCTACTGTAAAAGAATAGGGCAAGGTAAGCAGCTTGGAACATCTGAATCATACACTCTAGCACAGCTGGTGCAGATGATAATGCACCCTAGAATATTAGAGGGAATTAGCGAATTAACACACTGCATGGCGGCTAATTAGTTCTGAGTAGGCATTGATAATTTGGGAAGCAACAGAACATAGACAAGCAAAATGCAGTATCAATTATCTTTTACAAAAGGCAAGAAGAATGATTCAATTAGTTACAAGTCTGCTAAACACCTTTGCCTTGTGAAATAATTGAAAAATATTGAGAGCAAAATCACCCGAGGCTTAATCAAATGGCTTATGGGACCGCAACTGGCAACAGTAAGAAAAAGCTTGGGAAGATTCCTTGCCTACCAAAACCTGCCTGCTTCTTTTGTTTAACCTCCTGTATGGGAATAGGAAGAAAATAGCCGGGAAACTAGTTGAGCAGGAAAGTCTCACACCCCAATACTTACGGTGTGGACTCAGATGTAAATTCTACCAAGGTCTATGGGAGTTGTGTTTTTCAAAGATTGCAGCAGCTGCAACAAAACGCCAATAACCACTTACAGCACTTCAGTGCTTCAATGCAACATTTGTCCTTCCTGGAAAAGATTTGGACAATGCGTAATGGAACTGTTAGAGTACTGAATTAGGATAAGAGAAACCCAGTTTCCAATCCCTGCTCAGCCATGTTGTTTTGCTGATTGACCGTGGGCCATTCACCGTCAGCCTAAGCTACTTCAGAAGGTGATTCTGAGAGTTAAATGAAGAGAGAGGAAAGCCAGGAAGTCCTTTTGAGGAAAATCACAATATAAAATGCAATTATTGTGGGTGGAGCACAGTGATTTGGGAAAACACACACCGTTGGCTACTCCTACATGGCCTTGTGTCTTCTGATGTAGTGGCTCAGAAAAGGTGTCAAGCACATCCGTATCCCACCCTTTCTCGAAAGAGCTTGGAACAAAGGAGTTATTCAATCGTTTTTATTATCGCAACAAAGTAGATTAACCCACACTCTGTGAACCACATGCTCCAGTGGCTCCCATGTCATTAAGGCAGCATCAGCAGGGGCCCTGACAGTGAAATCAGGTGACCATTCAAGCATGATGATCGCTTAAGAACAGACATGAAGGCAGCCTCCTGCCACTCAGTGAGCCAACTGTTGCCATGCTAGGAAATGTCAGGAAGCCAGAGATATGGTAATGCTTATCATGCTGTTTGGTTGGAGGCTGCAAATGTCCGGCTCTCTGTGTTCTTAGAACTGTTGCGTTCGGTCAAGCTTTTAGCGACAGGTTCCGACATTATCTCATTGCTTTAGGAGAGTTGCCGGCTTCAGCACAGTTCCTTTCCACGATGCTTTGGTAGGCTTAAAGTCACCTAGGGGGAATTGATGACATAGCTGCTTCCTATGCCAGCATTGCCTCACCTCCTGGAAAGTGCAGCAGCACTCCTGGAAAGCACACAGCAGCGGAAGCTGTGAGATCTGAATATCAGTAAAACACATCACTTGGGAAGACAGGAGAACCAATGCTAGTGCACTGGAAGAAGCAAAGATCACCAGTGTCGAAGCAATGATTCTTCAGCATCAACTTTGTTGGACTGGTCATGTTGTTCAGATGCCTGATTATCGTCTTCCAAAGCAACTACTCTATTCCGAACTTTAAAATGGAAAGCGTAATGTTGGTGGTCAACAAAAGAGGTTCAAAGACTCTCTCAAGGCAAATCTTTAAAAATGTAGTATAAACACAGACAACTGGGAAACACTGGCCTGTGAGCACTCCAATTGGAGAACGGCCTTTACCAAAGGTGTCATGGGTTTTGAAGATGCTCAAACAGGACGAAAGGGAGAAATGTGCTAAGAGGAAGGCATGCTTGGCAAACCCTCACCATGATTAACCCCTGCCCAGAAACCTATGTCCTCACTGTGGAAGGATGTGTGGATCCAGAATTGGCCTCCACCGTCACTTACAGACTCACTTTTGAAAACCGTGAAGACAATATTACTTGGCTACAAGTGATCGACAAAGAAGAAAAGAAGACTTGTGGGCTGATGCTCGTCTGGACCAACCCTCAGGACTACATTGCAGAGTCTCATGGATGCATGTGAGCCATTTGATGGAGTTCTACAAATGCACAGAAATTTTCCATAACTGAGGAAGTCATGCTCATGTACAATGGAAGTGCTTCACTGAAGAACAACCTAGAAGAGTAAAATGGCTGGTATAAAATGTAACTCAAACTGTCTCACCTCCCAGTCTCAGAAGAAAAGCAAACACAGATTTGTGTGGCCTGTCTAAGAGAAATGACTAATTTGCAGCAGAAATTCCCCTTCCCAACCAGGATGTGGTTCCCTTCAACAAGTAGGAGCTTGTTGGGAATTTTAATTTTGCCTGGTTAACTGCTATGCTGAATGGCTGTCCAGATGTTCATAAATATATATTATAGCACACCTGATGAGGTTCTGCTGACCCCTGCTGCATCCAGGTCTTAGGGCAGGCCTATTGCAAGGTACCTTCACACAGTAAGTACTATTCCCCAAACCCATGAGATATTACAAGCTTGTTAGGCCTATTGCCAGTGCTCATTATTTTAGCTAGGATGCCCCTTAAAAACCTACTATGTATTGGAAAACAAACAAACGAACAACTCCACTATCTTGAGTGGTATTATAGGATCCAGAATAGCTATAATCTATAAATTAACATGTGCAAATTGAATGTAAATTCATTAGGAAATTGGTCTCTAGTGTCCACCAGTCTAATCAATCTTGATGGTGGACATCTGAGCTGATATTAAGGCCTGGGAAGGTTCATTTGGGTTGCTAGTTTGATTGTCTAGAAGCTGGCACCAGTCCAATTTGTGTGTGGAAGTATGCTGGAAGTAAAGGCAGAATGGATGCTCAGTCCTTTGCATCTCATCTAATAATAAGCTACCATATGACAGCTTTCTACGTATTCTTAGAAGAGCACACTGCCCAGAATACATGAAATATAGAAAAGGACGTGAGAGTTAAATCCATACCAGTTGTACATTACGGAAACACAGAATACCAAAGAGATGTTGAAAAACACACACCAAGCAATGTGAAAGAAAAGAATTTTGTACAGTCTTATTTCTATAGTGCTAGAATAGAATAGTGCTAAAAGTGTTGGATAATTTTCCTGATTCAAAAAATAATAATGGACTTCACCACACCTCTTTTCTGGTCAGCCTGTTCTGTGTCAGTGGGGCTTTAATGAATGCAAGAGGTGAATGCAAAGTTTCACCAAGCAGAAGGCCTGACCTTATGACTCAGTGAATCTTTGGGGAATGTTGTTCTTCCTAACCTGTCAACGTCCTGATTTTGGCCTACCTAAAACCTGCTCCTGCTTTTATTGAATTCAGAAGATGTTGTGTAGGTCACAGTCTGAATCAGCAATACTGCAGCTGTGACTGAGGAAACATATTAGAAAACTCCATATATTTCTGTTTAGCTAAGGAATCTGTTCTAAGCCCATTGCCACTGCAATGAATGGATCAAGATGACTAAAATGTCGAAATTAGAAAGGAGAATCAGCATTTTGCTCTCAGGGTTGCAGGGTAATATGAGGTCTGTGTTCCAAACAAGAAAGTTTGGTTGAGTTCAGGCAGAATGAGAGTAGGTGCTTAAAAAAACACCACCACCTTTGGCTTGCACCTTTCCTTACCAGATATGCTGCATATGAAAATCGAAGGTGGATTAGGAAATTGCCTTATACTGTGTCAGATCATTGATCTGTGTTAACTCAACTAGCAACAGCATTCCAAGGTTTCAGAGAGAGATGAAATATTAAACTAAGAATCTTCTGCGCACAGTATCTGTGCTTTACCATCAAGCTACTTCTCTTTCTACCATGCTTCATGTTTGCTGTTGTATGAATTTAATCTGCAAATGAAACCACTGAGCATTGTGTTTGGCCATCAGTAAGTGCACAGCTTTGTTCATGGGGGAGAAAAACAACGGATATATTCAAAACTATAAGTTCAGCCAAGCAGAACTGGCTCTAAAGTTCAAATCTTAATCATGAACATCTGGGCTATAGTATCAAGTAAAAAAAGAGGAGCAGGTGCAAGGCACAGATGGAGATCTGTATTCCATTCCTAGATTTAGATTTGCCATCCTCTTCCATAACAGAATCCGTGGCAGCTTTGGACCTGACAGCGAGGAAAATGGCTGTCCCCAAACCACATCCACCCCCATGTTTTTATGATGATGTCTTATGTTTATGTTAATCACTCCTCTCTACCTTCTATGAAAATAGGGGAGGGAAACATTGACTGCAATGATGTCACATCATGCATCTTTTGAACCAAGCATTACCAGCATGATGTGGGTTGGTGGCAGCAACCGTGAGTCAAAATGCCAAGTGGGAAGCAGTCTACACCTGAGTACTAGATCCTAGGGCTAACAAAAGGGAAAGGCCACCATGTCTTGCTTAGGAGTGCTGTATCATTGCTGTTGGAGACAAAATAGTAGATTAGATGGGCTCAATTCTCATTCATCAAGGCAATTATTATATTAAGGAATATTTTGATAAAATGAAACCAGGGCCATCTTAAGCATATCTGGCGCTGTGGTGCGAAGATCCCTCCGGCGTCCCACCCCCCTTTCCAGAATTGCTGACTTTCTTTAGGGAGGATAGCGCTGCTGGCGACGTGCCCAGCTTTGCGGGGCTGGAGGAGGCGGGCAGCGGCTGGAAGACGGCTCCTCCAGCGGGGAAGAGGCAGAGGTTGGCTGCTTTGTGCCATGGTGGCCATGGCAGGTGGAGGCTCCAGGAGCGGTGCTGCTTTGGTGTGGCACGGCGGAGGCGTGCGAGGGCGGCGAGCTGATGCCGGGAGGCACTGCGTCCAGCCTCCGCCTCTTCCCCGGTGCCCTCCAGAACTTGGCGCCCTGGTGCCCTGCGCCACTAGGCTCTATGGGTAAGACGACCCTGAATGAAACTCAAGGGAGAAATGCGCAAGCTTTGTCTTTCTCCCTGTCTTTCTCTCCTTCAGTTGTAACTATCAAGTGTGCTCCTGCGCCCTTGGAAGTGCCATAAACATGACTATGGGGATGGGAGAATGGCATTATTATTAACAGAGATGAGACAGGACTGGTTTTTTCCAAGTGCCTAAATACACTACCCTACATCCTGGTCCACTAAAACTACTGCAAAACATATTACAAAGGGTGCTGGAAATTACAGCCAGGGAGAGCTGTGCTCACAGTTGTTTATCTCCTCATTGCAAATTCATCCCATTTTGAACCAGCAAACTAAACTGCAGTAAATTAGCCGGTAGCATAGACACAGGTTGTGAATCTGTGGTGCTATATAGCCACACAAGGTGCATTAGAATACAAACTGCCCTGTGTGTAGGATACAGTGCCTTACAATTAGCGATGACTTTGCAGTGTGGAACTGGAGAGCTTGCAATGGTGAACTTGTGAATTTGTCCCTGTACTAATTATGTTAAGCTCAAACTTCAAGAAAGTTCAGGCTTGGCTCCTAATAAGCGCACGCTGTTGCCATAACTCTCACATCACAGCTATCTGTTCTCTTTGCCACAAATGCGGCAGGCATCACCAGCAGTGACCGGGAGAGCTTCATTACTTCCTGTCATCTGAAACTGAAATTGCAGCATCCTTGGGCCATGAATCCATGGTCCATTTTCCAGGGTGCTTCAGAATTTAGAAAGGGCACCAAGGCACCCTGGAACCTGCATGTCCCAGCAATTTTTCTTGGTACAAATTCCCCTCTTCTCCTTTGCCCAAACTGTTGTTTAATATGATTGACTGTGGAAACCCACGTGTCTTCATGAGTATTTATGACAGTATCATGTCAGATTTAACTTCATGGTATTATTGACAAAATTATGTGTGTCACCACCACATCCAGTATCATTGTGGGTAAATTGAGGCCAAAGGCTGAGAGGCAAAGGAGACGAAGGCAATGAAGGACACTGAACAGCAGCACTGAAACAATAAGAAAGTGTTTTATCAAAAAGTGGACGTGCTTTTTGAGTATGATATATGATAAGCAGCTTTGTATCAACTGTATTTTAGAAGTATTGAAGATTTTAGGGTTAAATTCTTTAGTGCTGAATGAAAATGCTGGCAAAATAAAAAATTGGATGAGTTTCTTTACCAGTATTAGCAAACGCTCTTTATTTGCATGCACAGGTATTGCTACAAAATGGCAAGAAAAGCTATGTTTGCAAAAAATAAATTCATGCATGCTTATCTACAAAATTGCTTGTTAGAGCAATTCTGATTCCATAGTAGAGTCCATCTGTGGATTTTTTAAAAGTCAGTATGACACACCACACAAACCCACCCTAGAAAATACTTGAACTTTACATATATAGTAGTTTAGAAGGTTTAGATGCTGCATCTTAATAACTAAAGCAAATAGACACTGCTGATCTGCCCCAGAACAGAATTTAAAATCAATGAGACCACTTGGGAAGCAATCTGAGGAGAGCATACGATGCATTAAGAAATATGATCAGATTTGCCTTCTTGTACTGAGAAACTTTAAAAGCACTGTATGTTCATTTTAACCAAGCCAGTCATTGACACTACTGAATGCATCCAGATAAATTAAGAGTTTTGCAAGTTCAGAGAGGGCTCTTTCTCCTGCCACCAGTCACTAAGGTTGGGACTTGGGATTGATGTGTAAGTATGAAGCCACTGTACTGAGTGAGGCCATCAGCTCATCTAATTTTTTCCCCCAGCCATGCAACCTGAAATCCTTGTAAGTGGAGGAGCCAAGATTGAAACTGGGGTCTTATGTAAAGTCATTGAGCTATGGCAACTCCAATATATTATGCATGTAAAGCATATCACTGAGGAACTGTGGGAGTTCTCATAGGGTGCATAGAGTTCTCTCTCTCATGTACAAAGACACACAGTTCTCCGGGAGAACAAGAAAAGCACTCTGGTATATCCTCACATAACTTCACTAAATATAATTTTTCGTTGGGGGCGGCACCAGTAAAGGATGACTTCCAGTCTGAATGATTTTGCAGGCTCCCAAAAACCAATTCCACATAGGCAAATCCCACTTGGCTTTCCCAGACCCAAGCCCATGCTTAAAGTAGCTCTTTGTATCTCATCCCTTGCATACTGATAGTATATAAATATAGAAACTATCATTTTAGTTCATATTCTGATCCCAGGATGTGCAGATAATAAGAGTGCAATGTTTATTAGATTATTGTTCTGGCAAACGTCAAACAAGAATGGACAACTAACGATGTAGGTTCTAGGGGCATAGTTGTTATAAGAATAGAATGATGGGAAAAAGTCATTAAGCATGCCAGTGTTCTACAAGACAAGAATGGAAGCTGGTAGACTTTGATGTCAAGAAAGTACAAATTGAAGCTGTCTGGCAAAAAAAACCCCAAATGCATACCCTGGCTTTCCTTTGACCAAAACATCTTCTAAGTAATATAGGAAATACAGTTAAGTGTATTTTCTCCAGATCTCAAACAAAGTTAAGGTGGAAAATTATTCTCAACTTTGCATGTAGCCAAGAAAAGCAATATTGTAAGTAATATAACTGACTTTACTTTTACTGTCATAAGAATGCAGACATTCATGAAAGACAAAGGCAGACGAGTGATTCAGGCTATCACATATTGCGTTTATTTTTCGCTGCCTGCTAGCCATTTGAGAATTCCCCCCACTGCCTGTTTTTATATAATGTGCCACTGAAATTACATTTTGTGTGTGTTTATACTGCTGTTCTAAGTTGGAACTTAATCCATGACATCCAGACTCAAGCCAACTTGAATCAAAAGAGCCATCACAGATGGAAAACAAGAACAAAAAGGTGAAAGCTTGAGTTATAGGCATGAAGAAGTCATTCTAAGGAGACACTCACTGCCAAAAGCCCTTTTCAGGCATTATAAGCTTTCCTATCTGCAGAAATTCATGCTGTACCTGTTAAAAAAGTCACTTAAATAATGCAAATTCCAGAGAGAAAAGCCCTGATAACACCAAGGAAAACTGAACAAAAACAGTGTACAGTTGAAAAAGAAATGAACAGAGAGGTTTTTACTTTCTTACATTAGGCCTTGTACATTCAACCAAAAATACAGGGGCAAAGTTCCCTCAGCCAATCCCTACACAGCCAATCAGGATATTTACCTTGGTGAATATCATCTGGCCCTGCTTGGCTGCTAAGCCACACCTGCAACAGTCCCCCTCTTGGCTAGTTGACTTCAACATTAACCAAATTAACCCTTCAACCACAGAATGAGCTTCTCTTCTGCATCTCCAACAGTACCTACCTACTGAATCCATGGGCGGGGGGCTATTCAGAAAGTGCAACGTCAGGGGGTGGGGCTCTTTGTGGGGGGGCACTCTCTTCTCCTGTTCTGCTCCATGTGGAAGCTATTCATGCCTGCATGCTCTGTAACATCTAGGGCAGGCACGTTCAACTTCCAAGAGACTGCGATCTACTCCTGCTATAAATAAACTGGCAGTGATATATCCGTTGGATTGACCAGAGTTGTTGAATTTTTTTGGGAGGAGGCTTCACCAAAGATGTTGAGCTTTTTTGGGGGAGGAGGATGAGCCAAAGTTGGAGAGGAGGATCCCACACTTGACCATGATCGACCACAGACACATCATGATTGACCGGTTGGACGTAATAATAATATAATAATTATTTATTATTTATAGCCTGCCCATCTGGCTGGGTTTCCCCAGCCACTCTGGGTGGCTTCCAACCGAATATTAAAAACACAATTCAGCATTAACTGTATAATTACAGTAAAAACACCATACAGCATAACATCCCTGATCTAGGACAACTTGCCCAAATTGGGATGTCAATACATTATGAGTTTCCCCACTTCTGCTGTATATGGTTGCCTGCCCCTGCTAAAGGGCAGGGAAATGCAAACTGCAGTGACATGAGGACAGTGATGAGCTATCCGAAAATATGTTGTCTTCTGTTGCAACTGCACATTTAATATAACATGCCCACTTGTGCTGTTGCAACTTCTTTTTTCCTCCCTGCCTCCCTCCCTCCCTCTCCTAAACCAATCCCTTCTGTATCAATATAACCTGCCTATGTTCTGAACCTGGAGCTCTTCCTATAAAGACTGCCAGAGAGTTTCTAAGGGTGACATCAATTACACCAGATAATTGTTAGTGCTGATCTTTTGGAAAAAGGCAAATCATCGATAGCCTTTCAAAACAGACATTATTCACAGCTCAAGGTGACACCCGTCGGAAGCTCTTAGGAACTGAAATAAATTAGGTGTCCACCGATACACCGCCTGAAAGAGAACAGCCTGGAAAACCTGTGTGGTGCCAGATCTCCTCTTCTTCCAAATTCCACCTCAAAAACCACCTCTTGGGTGGAGACTTTGGCTTAGCCTCTTAGTCCTACCCCAGAGCCAAAGCTAAGTGCATTTGTGCATACCCATCCTTTTACCCTCGTCAGTTCCAGCAATCAAAATTTAGATTGGAAGATCCTCAGGAGAAGAGTGTGTGTGTGTGTGTGTGTGTGTGTGTGTGTGTATGTATGTCCTATTATATATTTTCCTAAGGCAGCAGTTTGGCACTGCAGACTACAGCTGCACCATCACAGCAGCAATGGAGGGCTGCAGTGGCAAGCAGCCCAGGTGAGCCACAGGGCAGCTCCTCAGCAAACATCCTGCTCTGCCACTGCCGTCACCACTGCCCACCTCACCAACGACAGTGTTTCAGCCTCAGCAGAAGGGGGAATGTGGAGGGAGAGCTGCCTTGGCCTGTTGCAACTGTCTCACCTGGGCTGCCGGCTGCCACCCATCTCCACCTCATATGTAGGTCTAAAGGAAGTGGTGTGGGTGGGTTTGTTTGGTTTTTGGCAAAATCTACTAGGAGCAGGTGGGAGACTTGGCAAGATCTACATGATCTTGGAGGCTGAGGAGGTCTAGGGGGCACTTGAAATGTTGGGGAAGGGTTGGGGAGGTAGGTGGAGTTCACACTCCTTTGTACGCCTGACATCGAAGGTGGAAAGGAAAAGCAGGGGGAGGGTTGCCTAAGGTTGTAAGGGTGAGTGCAGGGCAGGCTATGCAACCCCTCCCCTTTTCAACCTCCGATGGGAGTTGGGCAGGGCAATGAGACAATGATGTGATGTGATTGACATGTGTGTTGTTTTGCCTGCCTGTCAAAGTTGGCCCATAGGGTATGAAACAAAAATGTTCCCTATCCCTGGTCCAACAGGATATTGGTTTGGGATTTGATGAGAGTTGGGTGGTCTGCTAGCAGGTGAGGCTGTAGGTAAGGCTGCTGAGTATCCTGTCTCCATGACTTCCCACACTATGGAATGGAAACATACACCATCATGTGATAGACAACAATCTCATGACTGAAAACACGGAGCAGGAATCTTAACAGGCACAGCCCTCTGTGTGTGTGTATCTATACACGTATATATCTGAAAGGAAGCAGGGATAATACCTGAAGGAGCATTTCCACACTCAACATTTAGCCTAGACACTGAGATCTAACTCCGAGAGCCTTCTGGTGGTTCCCTCACTGCGAGAAGTGAAGGTACAGGGAACCAGGCACAGAGCCTCCTCGGTAGTGGCACCCACCCTATGGAACACCATCCCATCAGATGTCAAGGAGATGACACCTTTAGGAGACATTTGAAGGTATAGGGCAGCCTTTTAATGTGCAATGTTTCATTATGTTTTTATATATGTTGGAAGCCACCTGAAGTGGCTGGGGCAACCCAGTCATATGCGCGGGGTGCAACTACTACTAATAATAGTGATGGTGATATAATAATAATAATAATAATAATAATAATAATAATAATGTATTACATACACATTTTTGTTTAATATAGCGATACCTTGATCCCCCCGCATGCCACTTACCTTTCCCACATACAAAGGATCCGTTCCAGTGTATTCTTCCAAAACGAAGAATTGGTTCCACACCCAGCTCCTCTTCATTCGCAGATGCAGAAGCAAGTTGTCCGAGAGGCTGCCTTCTTGGCCTTTGCTGGGTGGTTTGCTGCTCCCAGATAACACAGCCGTAACGAGGTTCATCATTAAGCAACAACTTAAAGATATACTGAGTCCGAGCCACTTCCTTGCTCTGTCCATTTTACACGAAGTTCGCGTTGCCATACCAGGGTTGTTTCCAAAAGTTGGAGCCGGGTCCTTTAAAGCATCCAACAGAAAGGCCTCTGAAACTCCCAAGCGCAGTCTTTCAGTGCTATGAAGCTAGCCACGTTAAGGACAGTAGTTTCCTGTGAAGTAAGAAAACAAACACCAATCCTACTGTTCAAGTTTCCATCAAGGAGTTTTGAGAGCATACTTTATTTCTTTTCTTTTTTTAAAAAAAAGGGGTGGGGGTGGAGAAAGAAATATGTTTCATGCAGTATTTAATCCCTCTCATAAAACTGTGATAACAAGTTAATCCTCTTCCAAAAAAAGAGAACGCTCTTTGCTTATAGCATGCATACTACACTCCCAAATGAAGGTAATGTTTGATTAGCTAGAAAGGAAGACTCTGGCGGTATGCTAAGGTAGGTGTCAGATCTCACTATATAATTGATTGGCTTGAGCGAACAGAACATTTTTGAGAGAAATATTTATGACCAGACAGCACCGGCAGTATTTCGAAGGAGGATTCACTTCATAAAAGTTATAATAGGTACCGATTTGACTCTCTTTCTTCCTCCCACCGGCATCCTTCTGCAAAATTCTGCATGTCACCTCACATGTATATGCATGCACACAAATATTACAGACACACTGCAATGCTTTGATTCAATTTTAGCAGCTGCAAATTATTTCTCACTTTATTCTTTTAGCACCCAACCTTCCACTGCTTCAAGCCAGGCTTCACACTCTGCTGCCTGCTCTCTGAGGAGTTGGCCACCGCAGCTAATGTGACATTTCTAGAATTCTGAATAGCCAGTTAATCATTATATCTGTCACAAAAGGTCTCAGGATGCTGATAGCCACATGCTACCGTAGAATATGCCTCAGTGAGTCAAGCGAACAACTTTCCCCCCCCTTCCACCTTGAGCCTGAAAGACTCATTTAGACCAAGGAATGTTGACCTCCATCAGAGGAGACGTTCTCATCAGTCAAAGATCTTTTGTTGTCATGAAGTTAGATTAGCTGGTGACCTCACTCAGGCCATGTTTTGTAGCAGTCTTTTCTTCCCCTGTTTTGCTAAGTTTAATGAGGTGGCACTGCACTTCGCTACTCTTGTCAGTGCAGTTAGCAAACATCCTCTGTGTGTTTCAGATGTTCATTTTCGGGAGGGGAGGGCCTTTTGTGTCCTCTGAGGGCAAGTGAATTCTTTACAAAGCCTAATATTGATCTTTTTTTAAAAAAAAGTCTTTAAAGTCTATTACGATTTCACTCTAGTCTCCGTTGTGAAATTAGGTTGCTGTTTTGACAGACCGCTTAATGTTTTTATCTAGAGATGATGATTTTTTTAGAATTAAAAAAAAACCCCAATACCCCACATACGCAGCCGGAGATGCAGCCAGGCTCATCAAACTCACAACAGAAGCAAGGGCTATTATGAAATGATTATGATGTGCAAAAAATATATAAATATTAGTGGAAACTTATGAACATCCACAGATCTAAGCTGCTCCCCACAGCCTCTCTGTATCCATTTCACTCACCTCCCAGACACACAACTCATCCTTTCAAAAACAGATTGGTATCTACAGCAGGAGTTATGAATCTTGAGGGTGCACTCAATGCTAATGTGAAGGTAGTAGAGGGGGCATGTTTTGTTTGTGTGCACCCAGAAGCACCTATCTGGCCAGCTGTTGTTTAATGCTGAACTGGAAAGGTCTGTAGGCTAGTTGGACAATAAAGTTAGTATATTTTCTCTCACAAATCCCCGATCATACTCAAGTGCATATGCTCGTCACTCATCCTATTGTCCCTAGGCATTATACTGCTTTTTACCACAGCATTCCATGTAGGGTTCTCTGACAGCTTCTATAAGCTATTAGGTGTCAGGAGAGAGACACACAGGGAGTCCAGATGTTGCCTTGTCTCCTCAAGTGACAGCCAAGTCCAGTGTCTCGAGAGGAGTTGATTGCAAACAATATTGAGCATGGCTGAATTTGTTTTGTGAAGGAAAGTAATTCTGGAACAACTAGCTTGCATTCCTGGATGCCACCTGGAATTCTTCTCCTCTCCTGCTTCATGGGTGATTGATGAAGATCTTACAATACAACAATCTGTCTGTGACTCAGGGTGAGAGTTCTGTGTGGTGGCATGCGGCAGAATTTGTGTCCTGGATTTTGAGAGAGAAAGGTAGAAATGTCCAATCTACAGACTTCTTGAGTAAGCAAGGTATGTTGAGCCATGCGTGCATGAAGTTTCAGCTTTCTATCTGTTGTGAAAGCACCTTAAGAATTTTGATATTCCTGTCAGCGATGTGAGTCAGTGAGTTTCACAGATTCCCTTACTGACAGCACTATCAAAATTCTTAAGTATGATGATACTGATACAGCTATGGATATATAGGCTGCTGTATTTCATCTCCTGTGGAAATCTATGTCAAAACTTCCATCAGCTTTGATGGGCCCGGACTGTTCTCTTTGTGTTCCCAACAGACACTTGTTCAAAGGTTTGCAATCAACCCTTCTACTGATCCCCATGGCAAAATGATCTTTGAATATGAGTCACCAGAGGTTCTGCTTAAAGTCATCTTGCAAGCAGTCTTGTTTACTGAACATCTGTGATCGTCAGCAAAGCTTAGCATAATAAAGAAAACAAATGATCAAGCATTAAACCCATTCTCACTGGAAACAGTTTGCTCAAGCCAGTAAAGTTAATTGTGAAACAACTGAGTTTTAGCATGACCAGATTCTTCTATTGTAGTACTGAGCAAGGGCAAATTGTTGTGGCTGAGGGATTTTTTTTAATGGAAATCCATTTTTCCAAGGCATTCTGGGCATATAATTCCTCTACGGGCTTTCCATTCACGAACAGTATAAACCAGTCTTATCTACTAATTGTAAGCTCATTCTCTGTGCATGAATCCTTATGCAGCCAGAACAGCACCATCCATGCACAAAAGTAGATAAATAGGTACCGCTCCGGCAGGAAGGTAAATGGCATTTTGGTGCGCTGCTCTGGTTTGCCAGAAAGCAGCTTAGTCATGCTGGCCACATGACCCAGAAGCTGTACACCAGCTCCCTCGGCCTGTAAAGCGAGATGAGTGCCGCAACCCCAGAGTCATCTGCGACTGGACTTAACTGTCAGGGATCCTTTACCTTTACAGTATAAACTTGGAATATTGTGGAAACAGGGATTAACACTTTACTAATTTTTCTTTGTAAAACGAAGAAAATAAATGCATTTTACTAAATAGGATAAAAATAGCATAAAACCTAGCCCCCATGACAGCTTTCCCAGCAGCAGCTGTTCTGCCATTCTAGAGATTGGGGAAGGATGTGAAAGGGTGGCAACGGTGGGGATGGGCTTTGCCATAAGGGAATTATTGGATTATGGGAGCCAAGGATCAGGAGTTATGGCTTTAGCCCTGTATGTTCAAGTCCATTAACAAAGTTGCTCCCCATGAAATCTAGTTGCTGACAAGGCCAATCCACCGAAAAGCGCCATAGAAACAGCAGCAGCACGTAACACCACCAATATTTCTCAGTAAGGAGAGGTAAGCCTTCAATTTTCCTGGAGGTCATCTAGATTTAAGGCTGAAATCCTATGCACATTTACCTGTGAGAATCCCCACAGTGGGGCTTGCTTCCAAGTAAACATACATAGGATTGCCCTATTAAAATACAGTAAGATATACATTTTACCATACATTAATAAAAAGTCTTACTGATTCCTTAAAAATAGAACCTGCCTTCACACAAAAACAACTGCATAATTTTTTTTTTGGCATTCATCAAGAGGAGATCTTATTGGAAAGGGCATAAGTACACATTGGTTTTGATTAACTGGATTACACAAGCCTTTTGAAAATCATCTGTCTCGTGTGTGTAGTATTTGCTTATTCCTGCCAAACACCCAGTAGTCTGTCCATTGCATGTTAATGCAGACTGGTGCAGTAACTTGGGGGAGAAGCTTTCAGTGCTTCGGTGTGGATTAGATGCAGAGTACCCAACAGCCATATAGGATCGTGCTCTTTCATCAGTATTATTACTATTTTTAGTTGTTTTGATTAATTAGCAGAGCAAAGGTAAGATGCACTCTGCATGCATGCATGATTAATATAGCCATTTAGTTAGGTAGTAAAAAGCAATTATAGGTCAATACATACACTCTTATAATCAGTTGTTTTTTTAAAAAAAATAAAGGCACTCTTTTGCATTTATGCTGTATGGTAGAGGATGAATTAGAGCTTTGCTAAGGGAGGGTGTAAACACGTGTGAGGGATGAGCAGCATCAGTTCCTGCAGTATTTCCAATTTGCCCATTTTCAGCAGATCATTATCACATATCTTTTGGACTGGGAGGTCTGTCATTATATAGAATTGAATCTAACCATTAATGATAATCCATGCCTTATTTGGTATGGGGGGAAAAGGCATATTCATTTATTTATTTATTTTTTGCAGTAATTTTTTTGGTGCAATACATAACTGGAGTAATTTTGCTCAGCTGTACTGTTGATATCCTGTCTCTCAGTCCTGCCACCCTCACGGGAATGCTTGGTGGGTAGAAGCAGTTCTAGGGGGCTGTGACCAGTGTGGTTGCATCAGACCCAGAGCAGACTTCACCACTATTACTCCAATGGAAAGCAAGAGATTTTGAGTGCAGTTCTGTGTATGAAAGCTATTTCCAGAGGGAATCAGGAGTGCCATATTGGAAGAATCATTTCAGTTCAAATACTCTTTTAAGCAGCTTGCGTATTTTTTTTGTCACAGCCCCATCCTCCTCAAATAAATACATACATTTCATATATTTAGGCTGACATTATACAAATACAGGGTGCTTTATAAT